ATGGCGATGATTGAACACGTCTTATCAAAGCACTACGCGACGCGCTAGGCATTGATGTCATCGTACGGAGGCGTGGGACCTTGTCGGTTCCCTAGGTTTGTGGTGACAAATCCCTTGGGCCATTGGTTTCGACGGCGTTTCGTCAGGAGTCAGCGCGAGGCCCAATACCCCATGCCCATGTTCATACCCATGTTCATGCCCAGCCCGTCGCGTCTGGCAGTCGGAGAAGGGGTAGGATACGGGTTGTGACCTGCTCGACAGCTGTCATCCACTGTCCGTATTGATGGGGTATGATGCATTTGCGAGTCGAGGTCGGTGTCGATGAATGGGTATGCGTTTGACGCTTGCTGCTGCTGCTGCCGTTGTTGTTGTTGCTGCAGATGGTGCTGTCGCTGCTGTTGGTGGTAGACGTGTTCGTCGCTAGGCGGCTCGGGCTGATCGGCTAGCAGATGTCTGGCAGCGTTGGAGGTAGAGTAGAGCACCTCCTGGAGGAGTTCATCTTCCTCCTCCGGCGTTTCGTACCGTTGAACGGGGCGAGAGGACAGCTGCAGAGCACGTCGAGTGCGACTGGATATGGGTCCGGTTGCGGGATTCTGAGCCGTGTTTGACACACTTTGAGCAGGAGAAGGGATCTGGCTTATGGCGGCGGCGCTAGTCGTCTGGGGACTAGAGGCCTTATCCAGAGAATATTTGACATCCTGCAATGCCTTATCGAGATCCGCAAATCCATTTTTCCCCTTGGCCATAGATGACTGTTTTGCTATCGGGCTGGTGGTGATGGGGTCAATGGCCATGCTCGACCGGTTAGATGTAGGCCCAGACCAGGCAGCACTAGCAGCATTAGCCTCCACGTCATCTGCTGGAATAGTAGTCTGATTTCTTCCAGATAACCGACGAGCCCGTTTCCGTAGATGAGAGAAGAAACTTTCCTTCTGGGTGGGTGTGGTCGCCGTAGATCCGTTGAGAGCACGTTCTGCCTCTGCTCGGTGGGCATCTGAATAGTGGTTCCCATTGCTGTTGACGGACAGCTGGCGAGCCACCTTCTTGGACGCAGCCGGGTTGGTCTGCTGTGAGCCATTCTGGTTCGCTGCCTTTCTGTCTGGAGAATTGGCGTTTGTGTTGTTCGCATGGGAGTTGCCCTGGGCTGTGACGGCATTGGAGAGGGGTGATACAGGCCGTATAGATGGAAGAATGGGCATGGGAGCACCGTTTGCCCAAGTAGCACGCTTCGATTTTGTTTTGACCTGTACTTGTACGGCCACTTCGGGACTGACCTTTACCACGGTAGCCTGCCGTTCATTTGTAGACGATGGTTCCGAAGTGTTCTCAGCCATGTTAGCCAGAGCCGGGCTCTCTCGTCCAGTAGCTCCGATAATGGACCGTCTGAACCATGATGGCTTCGAGACTAGAGTTGGTGTGGGCGTATCGACATCCTTGACTTTGAAATTCTTATCGCTCTGGCGGCGGCCGAGTAGACGAGCAGTGGACGACTTGGGCCGCAGCGGATCGACGGCGTCTGTGAAGTATTCATGATTGAGGGCCTGAGTCGAGGTAGGACGAGCCTTGGGGTCCCACATAAGACACCATGTCACAAACTGGCTAAGAGCGAGCGGCCAGTGGGTGGTTGGGAGAATTGTTTCCAGTGCATGGGGAGCCATCTGCAAGGTCAGTATATCATACACAGAGGAAAAAAAGTCAATAGAAGGGTAGAATAGGTAAGGGCGGCAACTCACCTTTGGAAACGAGAAACCGAGCCGTTGAGCGAGTTTGATTCCGTCTCGCCATTCACCACCGCCGACTCTAGTACCGTTCTTGCTGTACCAGTTGCCGGGCGAGCCCATGATCTCGCACACGCGCCATACCTGGTCGATCTCGTTCTTGCCGGGGAAAAGGGGCTTCAGGGTAGCTATTTCGACTGCCATGGCGCCAACAGCCCACATATCAACTGGAGCGGAGTATGCACCAGCTCTGAGCAGCACCTCTGGAGCGCGGTACCACCGCGTTGAAACGTAATTTGTGTATGGTCGTTTTGAGTGTGTCTCGCGGGCGAGGCCGAAGTCAGCAATCTTGACGGTGTAGTTTGAGGGCGTAGAGGGCGGCGTGACGAGGTGAGAGTAGCGGCTGAAGGTAGACGAGGAGGACTCGAGCGAAGTGTTGCTGGAGACAAGTATGTTCTCGGGCTTGATGTCGCGGTGGAAGAACTGGTGGGCGTGTATGTGGTCGAGGCCGGACAGGATCTGGAAGAGGATGGACTTGACGGCCTTGGGCTCGAGGGGCTTGTGTTCTCGCGCCTTCATGAGCTGGTAGAGGTTGCCGTCCATGTACTCCATGCAGATGTGCAGCTTCTTGGTGCCCTGGTCGAGGAAGATGTCGTAGGCGGGCACCAGGTGCGGGTGCTGCGGCAGCGAGCGCAGGAAGACGACCTCGCGGAGATCCAGACACTCGGCGAAGGAGTTGTACGTCTTCTTCATCGTCTTGATGGCGACCTACAGCGGGCTCCTGTTAGCAAAAACTCGCCCTGTCAAGCTGTCAAAGCTAGGGGGGCCCGGATCTGATCTCTGGGTCAGGAACGGAGGCGTACCATGGTCCCTCGACGGGCGACATTTGAGCCTGCAGTGCGCACTCTGGCGAGGGCGACGCTGCCGAAGCTGCCGTCGCCGACCTCCTTGAGGACCTGGAACCGATCCTCCAGCGAGGCCATCTCTATCATCATCTGTTGTAGTTTTCTTTAATAGTTGTGGGTGGTGGTGTGTATCTGTATTAGCTATTCGCGGAGTCTGCCAGCAGAACTGCTTTCGAAGGGAGGGAAGCTCAGACGAGCCGACACGCAGACGGTCAGCGGAGAGTCGACGGCCAATGGAGGATTCTAGCAGGGCATGTCTGTATTATCTGCGTGAGCTGGGAGGAGTAGCAGTGGTGTAGTAGCTGAAGTAGTAGTAGTTGTTGTTGTTGATATTATGCTGCTGGAGGAGAGGCAGTTCGGGGGAGAGGGACATGTCGCGGCGAGGAGAGGGAGGAGGGAAGAAGAGGGACGAGCGAGCGACGAGGGAGAAGAAGAGGAAGAGAAAGCGGACTGGACGAAGCAAAAAGGAAGACGAGCAGAAGAAGAAGAAGAAGAGAAGAAGAAGAGAACGAACGCTGCGAAGGGGGTGAAGCAGGCCAGCCAGCGCGGCGGGAGCGGAAGAGCAGCAGCAGAGACGATGCAGCCCCTGAAAGCGCGTATCCGTAATACAGATACATGCACTTTTGCCCACGCTAGCAGGAAAAAGCAAAGACGATCTCGTCGCTTTTTCGGGCTGTCGATGATGCTCTCCAGGTGGTGAGGTTGAAGTTGAGGTTGGAGATGTCGACGTTGAGATGTCGTTGTTGTGTTATTCAAGTGTTATTCAAGTGTTATTGCAGTGTTGAAGAATGCTCTATGCTCCATGCTCTACAATTGACAAACAGCAGGCGATCGTGGCCGTATATTTACTTCGACAGCTAAGAGAAGCTAATTACCAGTGGCTACGATGAGGCTTGGGCCGTTGGACATGCCCATCCTGACCGTCGGATCGAAGCCTCTCAGCGGCCTCCACGACTGCGCGCAGGACCAGGGAGGAAGGGCGGCCGTCCAGCAGCGAGTCGGAGTCCCTCTCGTCGCCCTTATAAGCAGACACACCCCGGGCATGGGTCTGTCGAGGCAGCTCGATGCTTATACTTCCCCCGAATGCAGCCTGAAAGACGGGGGAAGTCAGGCACATCTGCAGCAGCACGGCACCACAAACCACACACGATCACCGGAGGAACCCATCCGTCCTGGATAAAGACCGCCAGACTCCTCAGATACTCGAGGGAGGGGAAGCCTTCCCGTCGAAGGGGGGGGAGGGGCGGATGCAGCGAGCGAGAGTAAAAGGAAATAACTTCCCGGGCCCTTTCATATCACATCACATCATGGCCGTGTGACAGATCTCAGTCCTCGTTGCTCGTCCCTCTAGCTGGCTGCTTCAGGTGCCCTCCGTCTATGTGTGTCGGTGGTGGCTAAAATAATCTTATTCAGCGGTGTTGGTTGCTTTTTCCTTTTCACCTTTTCCCTCTGCGTCTTCCTTCAGCAGCCATCAATCTGGACCATCTCTCTGCCCCTTCTCCCTCTCGAAAAGAAATGAGAGAAAAAGAAAGAGGGCAAAGAAACTGTCCCATTCCAAGGGCGGCCCCAAGTGGAGAACAAGGCGTGAAAATGGATCTATAACAAATACGCAGTTATTAATCATACTTCCTCTCCCTTCAGCATGTTTGCAAGGAGAAACCCTATTGAGCAGCCAATCGAGGAGATCAGAGGGAGAAAGCCACTCGAGACAGGAGGCAGACACAGGGGAGAAATAATGGGAGGGTAAAGAAAAGAAAATGACAGAACACAGAACAGAATCAGAATAGGCGGAAGTCAAGCAGTGTAGTGCAAGCTTAATACTCAACTTAGTTACCAGAACGAACAGGAAACCATGGCCTTGTCGGTCTCGTAACGGCGTGGCCTGGCCTTGCTAGCTGTATCGAAACTGAGCAGAGGAATGGGACGGTGGAGATCCGGGAGGGAAGGGCTTCGCTTCCTCCCTTCCTCCCGCCCATTTTATCTCTATCTTATTTTGCACTCCTTTTTTTTTTCATCATTCTTATTCCCTGTCCGTTTTTAACAATTTCCTCTCTTCTCGTTCGTCCATCCGCTGCCGTGGGCCTGACAACTCGAAGAGACTGCATATCTGGTTGGCTAATTTCGAATATACCGTTGAAACGACTTGAGACACCACACGATACCTCTTTGTTGCCTGCTGTGCCCCCTGTGACTGCTTCTTCTGTCTTCTGGTTGACATAAACACGAGAAGAGTTATGTCCGTACAACAGAGAAGCACTCCGTAAAGTCCGTATGTGAAATGAGAGGGATGGCCCCTCGAGCTTGCTTTCCCTGTTGCTATTCCTAGCCCGTCAGATTCGCCCTCATAAGCCACCGCCTGGCACCAGCACAGCCAAAGGGGAACCCAGCGCTGCGGCCCCAGTCACATCCTAGCCCCAGAACCAGCCTTTGATGACACGAAAGACAGCAGCAACAGCCAAAGAACGAAAGCAGCCAGAGAGAGAGGGAAAACAAAAAGAAGCAAGGAGACCCGGGCCCGAACTTTCTTTTGTGGAATGGTAATTTTGCGGGTTTCATTCTTATCTTCTTCTTCTTCTTCTTTTTTTTTTTTTTTTGCACACACGAAACATGCTGCTTACTCAGTCCATAATTATATCGGACGAGCAAAGTCCGGATTATCGACGTAACAGCTGGGGTTGGATAGATGGAACAGCAACGCAACGCAATACAACTGGAGCAGCCGGGATGGGATGGATACTGAGAGGACGGCTGAGGGTTCTCTCAAGGCTATGGACGAATGGGCAGGAGGAACCGGTGGAGTGAATCCGATTGTTCGTCTCCAACCTCCGTACACGTAGCGTTGCCCTAAGTCATGTCCCAAGTCAGCATCCACAACCGCATCCACAGGGCTGGTGCAAGGTCGGTGTGTTTGGCGGTCTGTTTACACCAGAAAAATAAACAAACAGCACGCGAGGGGGGGGGGGAATTACCCAAGACCTCCCTCCCCTCCCGCCCTTCTTCCAAGAACCACCATGTCCGGTCGTTGTTGGCGTTGGCTCGGGTACACCGCTCTCAAGCCCTTGCTTTCTTGTCTCTCAACGGAGTATCCGTAGTCGGTCGGCAACTTAGCTTGACTCTTAGCGGAACTCAAGCTCGCGAAAGTCAAGAAGCTTTTGGCCGGACACAGTATGGAGTAGCGTGCTCAGATATCGGTGAGCAGTTGTCTACAGGGACAATCCCATCTCAATCTTGCCCTCGCTCTTCGAGGCGGTTGACGGTAGATCGATCGGACGGGTGGTTGGCGATAGTCTCATGGCCACCCGACGCCTCTTCCCTGACTGCTTTTCTTCTCCTCTCTGGTTTCTTTTTCCATTATCTGGGGTCGTGCCGTCGATAGTCGGACTCGTACCTTTCATCAGACAGGTTGGAGTAAAAAGATGTGGATGTCTCTTATTTTTTTTTTTTTTTTTTTCCTCCCTCTGCTTGTCGTAATAAAAGTACTCCGCAGAAATCTGGCTTGGTGACCTCTTTATGGCAGCACTTTAGCCGACGAAGCTGAGCAGAGAGCACTGCATGGGGAATGGAAGTACTTCATACGGGGTAGTCGAGGGTCGAAGCCCGCGCCTAGTCACTCTAGATCACCCAGACTTACCTGAACCGCCATGAGGGAGTACAAACCCATAGCGTCAGAAGACAAAACTTTTAATCTTCAATAGACTCTTGCAAATCACCATTGACGGTTCCAGCTGCCTCCCCCTTCGACCCAGCCACGAGCCTTCTTCCCCATCCCCCTCCTCCTCGTCCTCCTTCTCCCCTCTTCCAGAGACCTCCATTCTGAAATATATCATTTTCACCGTCAATCAGCGGTATTAGTCCAGTTTCACATCTTTCACCCCCAGGATCATGCAAGCAATGCGGTGTTGCCATCAATCGACCCGCTTACTCCTGCAGCAGAATATCACGAAGGGTGGCGGATGTGCCAGGACAGACAGATAGACCCTCTGAGATCAAAATGTGAGATAACGTTGACGCAGGCTGATAACAAGTCTAGATACCGGCCACGACCTGGTCCTGGACCACGTCGTGGAGAACGGGGCCTGCAGCTGCATGGTCTGGTGTAATGCAATGCCATAGAGATGATGCGCTTGTATCATGCGTTCCAAGTTCGCGGGTGGCGCTTCCCTTTTTATTTTTTTGGCTTCGTCTGTAACTAGCTGGTCAAAACAGGTCAGCCTTCTACAGCCTTCATCCAAAGCCTGTTCATCGTCTCTCGTCTGTGAGAGTCGACATACTCGCATACACGGCTGAGTAACTAGTTACGGACGGAATTCTCTGTCCCTGAGGCGATTGGCACGAGCGTAGTACCGCATATGTGAGTGAGATGCGCTCCCTTCGTCTCGTCTCGACTTGCTTCTGGGCGCTGGCATTGATTGTTCCTCTGGAAACAGAGGGGGGGTATCTTCAATGCCACCAGGTAAACACGAGCCATTGGCTTCACTGCACCGTCCCGAATAGAGTCCTTTGTGCTCTGTGCTTCGTAACTCTGTGCGCAGGCTAGCCCAGCAGCTGGGAATATACAGGGAAAAGGCAGACAGGATCGAAAAATACCAGGCCCTCTACTCCGTACTCTGTAACTAGTTGTGGCACTCAGGAACCACAGCAGCGGTCCGTATCATGGGCTTTGAGCAGCTCTTCAGCTGTTGCCATGGCATGCAACAGCCCGTCCAGGAGACCGTCTCTCACCTCTCAGCTGCATCTAGGAGCGCCTTGTTGTCGATGGTGATGATGTGGACTGACGTTGATGTTGATGCGTTGTCGTTGTTTCGGCTAGCAAGGATCCGCCTCATGAAGCGTCAGCTCTGCCCAAAAAGGGTAATTCTCAACTTCATCTTCAACTTCATCTCTATCTCTCTGTGAAAACGGCCAGAATAAGGGAAATACAGAGTCCTCAGTCTTCGCAATGGACCGTCTCCCTGACGAATTGCTTATGCATATCATCTACCAGGCCATTGGCGGCCGGGGCGACCGCAGCCGGACCAATTTTGCCTGCGTCGCTCGAAGATGGCAGGCCATTGCGGAAGCGAAAAACTGGCGCTTTTTCTTTCTACCCAGTCGTGAGATAGATTGCTTTGCAAAGATGCTAGCCCGCGTCCCTTCCCGACGTGAGGCGCTCCGAAAGATCTATTGTTTAATAGACGTCTGCTCTGAACCGACAGACGGGAGGCAATATGTTGACTTTTACGACAGTAGCGGAGGCGAGGAATCGCACCCAGAGAGCACGAGGTTTACCCGTGCGATATATACCTTGTTCGAAGCGTTGGCTGGAGGAGATGAAGATGCTCAGCCGCCTCTGAATTTGAAACTGAAGCTGCAAATCGCATCTAGTGGGATATATCCTATTACCATTGAGCGCTTCCTACGGATTGTGCCGCTTGACGGCCACCGAAAGACTCTGCCCACCGTGAGATATATCGAGTCGTTGAAGATTACTTTCCGTGGTCGATCGCTACATCCCACTGCTGCAGCAACGATATTGGCGGCGTTGCCCTGCCTAGGGGCTCTTTGTATGCCCCTTGAACCCCGGGGGCCTCAGTCTTTCACGGCAGCACATTTGAGGGTACCTCATTTACACGGTATAGTATACTTGGCTACTACTCGTATACCAGCTACAAAGGGAATAACTAACAAGCTATTTAGCCGTTTCTCGTCATCTAGAAACGTCAAATTATACTAACCTGCAGGAACTAAAGATTAGTAACTCGTCATTATCTCCCTTGGCTGGTATAAATCCGGCCCTCCATAAGCTGTCCCAGTCTGCTCCTTTGGTTAATCTCTGGCTTTTTGGAAACTGGTTCCTGTCACCAGCACTATTCTGGCCCGCAGGCACGCCGAGTTCCACTGACAAGCCGTTCTGGCCCAAGTTGCAGAGTCTTCATATCAGAGCAAGTTCAAGGTTCCCTGACACAAAGTCTGCAACGTAGGTTACCTCACCATGTTAAATACCAATTGTTTGAAGCGCCAGTGCTAATAGAGATCCAGCGGTGGCTTTGATTTTCTCGAGAAGGACGAAGCCTACAGGTATGCCATGGGCTGGGACCCACCGCCAGTAGAACCTGCGGCATTCGATCTTCTTGTCTCTTCCATGTCAAAAGCTGTCCTGCAAATGCCTGCTCTCCGAGTCTTGACTGTGAAAATCAAAAGAGGCCATGTTCGGGATCCTCGGTTGGACACGGGCGCCTGTGACTACGACATCTGCGTTGAATGTCTAGATTCAGGTGAGGAATCGGCTGTTATGCGCTACAGAGAGGGAAGGGAAGCGGACAAGGTAAACGCCCAATCGTACCGGCGGTGGAGGGTCTGGCTTCTTAGCCCAGTAGACTGGTCCCCGTCCTGGAAGATCCGGCAACTATGGCAACAGTTTGTTGGACCAGATGGGATCACGGGTACGAAGACAGCAGAAGAAATGTATTGAAGCTGTTGTCTAAAACCACGCCCCCTCATCTGCATGGGCTGCGATGGAAGTGTGGTGTGTCTGTCCTCCAGCTACCCCGTACACACAAAGGCCGTGACCCAACGTGAAGCAAGCTGCAAACACCAAGTGCCAGTGCTATTCTCCTTTCACCCAACTAGTTTGCTGCACCTAAAATGGATTAATCTGCTGAAAACAAAGGCTGCAGTTGCAGTGCAGTGGGAAAAAATACGGAACGCTGTAACTCGTCACATATTTCACCATGAAACTCTGTATTACCGCCACTATGGCACCGGGTGAGCTGAGCTGAGCAGCGCTCATGATATGTCCTCCATATCGTGTCTAGTGCAGCAACTAAAGGGCCATACTTTCACTAGAACGAGCCGATAGCGATGCAGGACAACTAGCGAGCGAGCGAGTCATGTGGACCTCGTCCTTTGCTCGTCCAATTTTTCCCTCTCATCCCATCTTGCCCTCCTCGCTCGCTCTTCCACTTGACTGCTGGGCGTGTCCGTGTCTAGCGTCCGTGTCTCTCTGACAGAGCATCCGAATGGCTGACTCCTGCGGTGGCTTTCATGCTGTGGAGCGTGCGTGGTTGATCCGTTTGTTGATCTACCGTCCTTGTTCTCCTACTGCTTCTGTTGCTGCTGCTGTCTCCTTGGGCTGCCAGGCTAGTCATGTCGATATGGGCTGGTATGTCTATGCTGGAGGAAACCATAACTCACCCCATCAGCCATCAGCCATCTCAGCCCTCACACAGACACTTTGATAATTACACGCTACTGTGAAGATACGGACGGAAGGCCCCGTACATGCAAGATACCAGTTTCCACCCCCAGCGAGTGTCTTTGTCTGATGCTTGATGAGAACGGATGTACGGAAAAGCTCGCTTTGCTTTTTCGCGGATGCAAGCCGCCAGGATGTGATCTGCCCCCTTTCTCCTTTCTCGAAGACAGCAGAGATGACAGGAGGAGAACTGAAGAGAAACCGGCCGGCCGATATATTCTGGCTCGCAGAGCTGCAGAAGTGAAGTTTCTCCTCGGCCATCAGAAAGCCTGGTTGGACGAACGGTGTTTTTTTGCACTCCATACGGAGTACCGCACTCCATCATCCATGGATGGTATCCGCATGGACTTACTGCTTTGAGGCCAATTTCTCATTATCATTGACATCTCATACGACAATCTCTCATACGCGTCCACTGGTCGGAGTAAAATGGGTTTCAACCAATGCTTGAACGGTGCGGATGCAGTGGAAACTGACTGAGGTGTCATCGCTGCCTAAAACTCGAAGGTAGCGCGATAGGCAGCCCTGTCTCCAGGTGCATCTTGCTTCTTGGTCGCGTGTAGGGCGGTTTGCTATATTCGGGGATGCTGAGTGGTGAGGTATCTGCAGGCCAGGCTATTTTCCAGGATATTTGACAGGCTGTTTAGCAGGTTTTTATCCTGAATATGCTGCATACAGGCTATCTCCTTCCATGACTTCCGCCGTTTAATATACACTTGCATATATGCATGCATATGCAATGCAAAAACAAACCATCTCCAATCAGCATACTTTCCCCCGCTATCCAGTAGGATACCGATGTGCCTTTTCTTTCTTTATCCTCTTTTGTCTCCTGGTCAAAATTTCGATTATTACCATCTCAGCCATTGTCCTATTTTGCCTCACTTTAATTGTTGGTTCTGCTGTGGCTAAAATGCTACAGCAGTTAATATCTACCAGTAAAGAAGTTAAGATTACTAGCAATTGTATCTATATAATTCTATACCCTAATCTACTCTCTTCTCTTATAGATTGAGGCTACCAATTTGTTAAGAATCAATATAAGATAATACCCCTTTAGTAGGCTGCTGGTGCCTGCAAGAAACCGTAGAAGATACAAACAGCTTAGAGGGTCAAAGAGATCCTAACTGACACCAGGACACTCAGTCTTACCCTGTGTTATTGCTTGTCTCTCTGATCAAACTGATATCCTGAAAGTCTGCTTCACCATGAAGAAGATGTCCTCCTGTCCAGCTTCGATAGAGGACATCGCACCGCCGAGGCCTTTGGCGACTAAGCAGGGCTAAAGTCTTCACTGTCACTCTCTTTCTTCTATTTATTTCTTTCTCTTCAGCTTCAGCTTCTCTTCTCTTTCTTCTCCCTGCTCATCAGCAAAGTCCGAAGATTGCCAGGCCTCGAAGAGCGTAAATCTGATACTCCGTCATCATGGGCAAACACGCCTTTCATTTCAAAAAGAACACCTTCAACTACGATGAGCACAAGCGCAAGTAAGTCAGGCATGTCGATCGAGTCAGTGAGAAGACGCAGGCATCTAACAAGACCATGACGAAAGGCTTGAGCGAGTCTCCCTGCCAGACAAGTAAGGCCTCCCCAGCAAGCAAAGGTCGAGAGGGTATCAAATTCTGACATCCAGCATAGGATTCTGTGCAAGATCTGCGGCAAGATTTGCTCCGCCAGCAAGTACTCCAAACGCCAGCTCGATGAGCTGCGAAAGGCGATGGCCAGCAACCCTAGCGTCAGCGGCCTCACTCGTCCTGGCTTTGCTGGATGCCGTACGTGTATCAGCCACCAGACCGTAGAGCTCACTTGCTGCATCTGCGACAAGACCAAGTCCCTGGAGTACTTCAGCAAGAACCAGCGCTCTCCCCCTGACACTGCGGTATGTCTTCCCCCTCGTCTGGTATCACTTTGTTGCAGGTTGCTTATATAGCATATCCAGAGATGCACCAACTGCGTTCAAAGCCATCTTGATGCTGAGCCAATCGCCGAAGTCCTCAAGGAGATGGAGGAAGGGGAGGGTGGTTATGACCCTGCCACTGCACCGGAGGTACGCTCGTTTCCCGCCGCCCCTTTTGAAGCCTCACAACTCTGACAATCAAACCAGAGCGATGTGAAGGAAATCACTCACTTCCAGAATCTCTCCGTCAACGAAAATACCCGCCCTCGCATGCCCGCAGAACGCCAGCAGGTTGCCAAAGTCAAGCGCCGGCCTGGCGTCGCCGACTCAGAGGACGATGTGTCCTTTGGCGGAGTCTGGGTTGAGCAGCAGCGCGATGGCAATGGCAACAGCACCGCTCAAGATGGTGCCAAAAAGGGGGCCGAATTGACAGCCTCTAACAACAAGGGGGCCGGACAATCTCGTAAGACTGCCCGCAAGACCGCCACGCCTGCAGAGAAGTCTACAGCAGAGAAGTCTACAGGAGAGAAGTCCACAGGAGAGAAATCCACCCCTACCAGTGGTGTCTGGAACATCACCACCAAGGAGAGACGTGCGGCCGCGCCACGCAAACACTCGAACTTCGCAAAAGTCCCCGTAAGTAAAAGTCTGTCCTTAGCTATCTCGCTACATCAGACCATGACGTACAGCGTTTTTCGCTTTTTACCTTTCCTTAAACCCTCGCTGATGAACATGATATTCAGGGTGTCCGTGTTCCCAAGGACGAAGCTCCCACCCAGCGTCTGCCAGAGCCCACCGGACCAACCATCGACTTCGACGATGACTCTGATGACGAGTGTGGTATCGAGGCCTGGATCTGAGACGAGACTCCACCAGTTGAACATCCTGGGTGTCAATCAATCATCACTATCCACTGACCCAGTTTTGATATTACATATTATTCATATTTGAGCGGCGCCGAGAAGTTTGACCTCATGAGTAACGAAGGAACGAATGCAATGACACCAGCCTTGATCAACGAAATGTCCTTCGGCTCTTCTCAGTTAGCCATAGGCCTTTGGTAGTTAGAGATTGAAATGAAATGAAATTAAACAGTTTCACAGTTTGCCACCGGAAGCTTGCTTTAACTGCTTTCTTATTATTTTTTTTTCTTTCGTACCGTTGGAACTTCAGCGGGCGGGTCGGGCCTTTTACCGAATTACCCCTGAACCGACCAACTCACTACCATAACCAGCAATCTAGCAAGCCCACCCATCTGTCAATTATAGCCGAGCTTACACCCTGTCTTAATTGCTTTATTATTACCTCGCATGTTTCCTTATGGTGGCGGCACTTCGATGAAGTCATGCTCCCGAGGTAAACAAATAAACATGTCACCATGTTGGGCAGTTCGTTACACATGGGCAGTCATTGGTAGTGGTAACATCATTTGGATATCCAAGTGTTACAGCAGATTGCTTTCTGGAAAGATTCTACAGTACAAGGGTTCACGGATAGCGCCAGGCGCCGGCTGTTCATAGTAGACCGTACGGAGTACTCCGTATCAATCGTCAAACGGCTAGGCAGCTTCCCATTCCTTGCGCTCCTCCTCGTTCTCTGGATACTTCGACATGAAGTCCGCCTTGGTCAATTGAATGAGCTCCTTAACCTCGTCATAATCCTCGTGGTCAACGGTGCCATCGACTCGAAAGAAATGCGATCCAACAGCCTCCTTAACATCTCCCATGATATTAATGCCATTGGCAGCTCCTTCACAGTCGCTATCAATGACTTCCAATTCATCTGGCGTGAACTCATACGGGAACCCCTTCTTGAATTGCTGCGTATGCCTGGGACGTCTTCCCAGCCCTTGCGGTATTGATCAGCTAAAATAGCAAGATATGCTGCTTCCCCGTCAAGATGGAGGTTTCGGGCAAAGATCAGAAGAGTAAACCTCACTGTTTCGCGGAACTCGAGTGCTCGGAAGAGTGGTTCGATTCCCATGTGGAGGGTATTTCTCCAGAGGGAGACCAGTGCCATTCTCCAAAACAGAGACTCAGCTTTTCGTTTTTTCTCCGAAGCTGCAAGTTCTTTGTCGTCTTCAAAGAGCTTTTGAATCTCCTTGATATCTGGCTGCTGTAGCAGGTCCCCGGTCATACGTGGTCCTTGGTATTCAAGGAAGTATGGCTCAATTGTATGATCATATAGGGGCGCTAGTTCTGTTGTCTGCCAGTCGATGATTCCACAGATCTCAGAGGGGTTATCAGGGTTAACGAATATGTTCTCTGCATGTAAGTCGTTGTGCCACAGGTGAGATCCCTTTATGGACTTGTCGTCTGGAAGTAGACGATCGACAACCTCCATATATGCCTGCAACGCTCTGATCTTTTTCTCCTTTGAAGGACGATATGTTTGAGGTCCATAGAGGCCTATTGGAGATTTGGGTAGCTTTGGCATCTGGGTGATACATTCCATTTCTCTGTAGCCTGCTGCTTTTACATAGTCCAATGGACTACTCCCTATGAACAATCAGTTTAATATGATCCAAATACAGAAATGCAATGACCTACAAGGCTTTGTCAAACTTGACACTTGCTCTTCCGTCATCGAAATTTTGTCTGCTTGTTGATGGCCCAATAGTAAACCGGTCATCCGTTACCTGCTTGCCGTTTTTGTTCGTATAGGTCAAGCAGGTTGCATTGGGAATGTCCTCCTTGTAGTATATACTACCATACTCGGAAAATGACGTCAAGGTCCAATCTCTTTGATAGCCTGCTATCTCCTTGACAATGTTCACCTTCATTTCGATGTCAAGCTTGTTCCACAATGTCTCCAGCGTATCTTTTCCATAATGATATATTCTGCCCCAGCCGGGTTGTCTGTCCCTGAGCTCCAACCAAGGACCTTAGGAGCTGGTGTCCCAAGTATGTTTCTAACCTACCTAGCAGTTAGAATCACTTCATATATACGGTTGATGTCACTCACGAAGTCCATTGTTGCCACTTCAGATGCAGTGGTAAAATGGGGTATGCCAGCATTCGGATTCGGCACTTTGCCAATAACCTGGACACCGTCATCCATGGTCAGAAGCAAGGCCTTGCTGTACAGCCCATCCGCCATCTTCTCAATCTTGATGCACTTTCGAGTTCCAGGACCAGAAATCCGGGCTGCGGTCTCTGCTAACTCATTGACATCGAATTTGACGTATCGTTGTGCCAGCTCTTTTGCTTCATCACGGAGGAACCGAGAGCGTGTAAACCGGAAAAAGGTGTCATCTTTATTCCAGCCCTGGTTTGAATAAAACCTTTTAGTATTTCCTATATGGATCTGCTGGATTTTCCGTGCTGTCGACGCTGCGATTTGGATGTGGTGTTTTCGTGCAGAGATTGTCGGCCAGTGAAAGTGATTCCGCAACCGAGCACATATGATGATAGACCTCATGTTAATGAAGACTTCAGCATCTTATCGTTTGTGAGCTATGTTTAACCAAGACGTAGGTATTGAATGGCCGGCATCCCATGCCTAGCAAGACGAATTTAGCCAGTATTTTCTCCGTTTCGGCTTGTTGACGCAGAAATTTGATCCCCAGCCGCCACTGATGCACTAAGGATGCCGACATCACTCGAGAAGCCATTTCATTCCAGGGCAACGATAGACAGTGCCATTCCAAATACTCTTCTGTTGCATATTGTGGGAAACACGGGAATGAGTCCTTTTACTACTTACAGACCAGTCGGTATTTGGTTATGCCTTGGATTTCAAGATATGCCCTTAGGTCAGCTAAAGAGATGAGACGCCAACCAAGTACTTTTTCACTTAGAGTAACCTGTATGGTGACCCCAGGCTTCGTTTTCATACATATTTACAAGGTTGGTCTTCGTTATAAGATTGAACTTGGAACCGTCCTTTCATACGAGCCTTGTTAACTCTCGGCAGTGGCAGTTTCTAGCTGCCTAACTGCCTTCCCCAAGGCTTGCAATAACCCATACATGAGGTTTCGTCACGTCTTGGGTACTATATATTGCAGCCCACGCCAATTCTAGCCCTAGTAATAAGCATCGTTGGAAATGAGACCATTGGCAAAGACCCAGCATTGTGACAGCGGTCTATGATCGAAGCTAGCCACCTATCTAAACTCGATCGAAAGGATTCTGGTTTGGCATAGTAAATATATGCTCGATTGGATTGAATACGGGGTAGAAAAGGTCCATTGCTTCCATGAAGTCGGCTTGCTAACGATCGAGAGGGGAGACACTCGCTTATGTTCATCTGAGTTGCTTTGCTGCTGAGACGTTGAGAAGACTGTCTTTGCTTTACATCCTTCCAGGGTCTTTCAAAATATTAACATCCTTGGAAATCCATGAGTAGCCAGTGATACCGCTCAAATCAAACAGAAAATGAGAGAACATGGATATCTCGAGTAAGTCACATACTTGGATCGGCTTGGTCAGCAAGACGCCTTGTATTCCAGGCAGCCTACATTCGTTTTTCATGCGCTGACTTCGGGATCTAACATTGTTGGGTGACATCCTTGACGTTATGCAAGTTATCACAGGGGAAGATCGTATTTAACCGCATACTTACTCCCTATGTTCGTTCTTCGGTAGTCACTGCAGGGTGGCCCCTACGCAGATGTGAAAAATCTGCAGCTTGAAGTGGCCTGCGTGAAAGCGAAACGTCTGTCGGAGGAAGATAACCCCAACCAGGGAGGTGATGACGACATGCCTGGAAATGGCGGCTCTAATATCCCAGGACTTCACTCTAGCCGTGCTGCCAGACCAGCATTCTCTACGGACGTAGTATCACTGGCAGCAGTTCTGGTGTGGGTATCCAGCCAGGTATCAGCGAGGCCACATATAGTATAAAAACAATACAGTACGCTCCATTTATCTCAGCAACAGTTATCTGTTGGTTAATTATACCTTTGCCAGAGCCCAAAATGCAGTGAAATGTAAAAAGGGTATGAATGAGAATCAAAGTTGAAGAGAGCAAGCAGGTGGAGCTAAGTTTTAACTCATTCAAGCACGTGATTTGATAAGTGGGGACTGAACTTCAAATTTGAGGCTCCAACAACGCGCTTGCTAGAACTCCGTACAAGGCGGCAACAGCAATAACAACAACAACAACAACAACAACAACGATACTGATACGTCTTGTCGGTTGTTATTCCATACCTGTCGTCTTTAGCTCTTCATTCTCCTATCTCTAGACATGGCTACTATTCAAGATCTTCCGCTGGAGATCTTGCAGCAGATCTGCGACTTCGTTGCTTCTGGCTATAGGGCTTCCCTATATGATTTTGCCTTGGTATGCCAGCGATGGTCTCTGGCATCAAATGCAGTACGGTTTCGAGAAGTCCGCATAGTTGTTGAAAACCAGGGGAAACTGACTAAAGATTTGGATTATTGGAGTGGTGTACTGCGGAGTACGTCAAGTTTGCGATCTGTCCGTCGACTTGAGATTAAAGGAGAGCTCCCGGCTGATGTAAATACCTGGGCCCCAAAACGAATAAGGCAGCCAAAGCATTCCCTGATTGATAGCGACGACGAGCTTGAAAGTGCGAGGTATACCCTGTATACAAACCTTCTCGAACTCCCAGAAGTCACTGTAGAGCTGGATAAGTACTGGACTCCAGTGGCTCATTTCGTGGCTCAACTCCGAGCCCTTCAAGACCTTGTCTTTGACTGCGTGAACCAGTTCCCACCGTGCTTGCTGGACGTGCTACACCAAATCCTACCCAGTTGTAAGCTTCACCTCCATAACTTTGGACTCAGGAACCTTTATTCCTACAAGGGGTGGTCGCGAGGCTTGGATAAGCACGAGTACTCACTGGCTACTTCTCCTTCGTTGCACTGCATTATCCTACATTACGAAGGGAATGAATCCGAAAGGCTAGTTGATTATAATGACGTGGCTGTTGCTAGAATGAGCCAAGGACTGGCTCCAAACCTCAGACATGTACAAGTTAATGCCAGGTCAATGTCACCGATCACATACAACAGGCGTGTTGAACGGCGGCCAAAACGAGACATATTCCCTAATGATACCCCAAACTCTGATGCAGACGTGCGTGGCGAACTCCACACCATGAAGTTTAGTGGATTTTTATTCGGTGGACTTCAGGGATGGAATGAACGAATTGTCTTCTCGTCATTACGGAAGCTTATTCTGGACACCGTCATGGACCCGTTCAGCTTGAAAAAGGCGAGCACGTATAATTTTACCTCACTTAGGACCCTCTATCTACGCCTAGAGAGCGACAATTGGGACGAACATTCCTTGATGGACGAAGCGGCAAGTGGCTTTCTAAGAAGCCTGCCTCCCCTGAGCACGCTTAAACTTACAGGGAATTTTGGTCATGACTCGCTCAAGGCCATAATAGACCGCCACAACTCGTTGGGACGAATCTGGCTCTCGCCTCGGGTACATTCTCACTTCATGGGGACAGATTTTACCTTAACATTAGATACAATTCGGGACCTTACATCACGCTGTTCAGAATTGAGAACGGTCTGCCTTACAATCCCACGAGTCCTGAAGTCACAAGACATGGCCATATACCAGTCTATAGGCTGTCTTCCTCATTTGAAAGATTTGTGTCTATACCTTGACTGTATCTGCCATGAAGACTCTACACCCTCTCCCACCATCGAAGACGGTTTACCGAATTTTGCAAAGATAAAAAACTTAGTTACGAATAAAGCTCTAAATGACGATATTGCTCGCAATATCTTCCATGAAATTTACCAGGCTCAGTCCAGGCACAGGATGCCAGTTTTTAAACGGCTTAGAATACAGGTGGTGAGGATGAAGTTTACAAGAGACATTCCCGAGGACCTAGATAGGATAATCAATGTCAGCGGTCAGGGCTTTGAACTTACTCTAAACCCGACTCAAAGGCAGGATTGCTATGATATCATTATTCAACGGTCCAGCCCCCGCAATTTCTAGTAAAGGCTGGGTAACTTCTTCCTGAAGCCTCGATGTCTTCCAAATCCTGATTTTTCGTTAATGACTTAGTTCCGCCACTAAGTAAATCAAGAGGGAAGCTATGCACTAGAATGGGTGGGTATGTGCTTGGTCGATAGCCATGACAGCCTCTGTAGGGATGCCGCATATACACGAAGAATGCTACAAGATGGTCCTTTTGCCTATGCTTACTGTGTGCGGTGCTCAAGGCTAAATCCTTATCGGCCTCCTCGATACGCAGATCTGGGCGGGCCTTTCCGTATGGTTGTCTTCAAAATTCACCAGTGATCAGCTTGAACCATGGTTTTCACACACTCTAATCAAATCCAGTCTCCAATCAACGTTGATGGGCTATACAGATCGACAACTGGTTCATGATCGTGACATGATCCATATTTTAGGCATTTCTTCCTGGCTATCTAGATCTCACGTTGCTCCGCTTCCGGTGAAGCTTATCTGGAAAGTCCTTATACACGCCAACGCCTTGCACATTGATATACTCCCCAGCGCCACGGCCCGATATTGAACTATCAACCCATATTTCCAGACCCAAGCATACACCCTAGAGCTTAAACATGGCGTTAAAAGAGAGGAATTTAACGCCTTAATGAGGAAACGCAGTAAGACGATTGGTATGGATGCAGTTAAAGGCCGTTCTGGCTTATACGGCTGTATTTCATATCTGCCCGTGGCTGTTTTTCATTTATGCAGTATCCCTATTTTATATTGAACTGCTTTTCGGGAAAGACCTGTCAACCTGCCGGTATCTATGTCGGCACATATCAAAGCATGTAATCTTACGGCCTCTCCGGCTATATTATATGCATCGGCTTTTTTCTCCATGCATTTCCAGATGGTTTCAATACTATCATTTCTCAAAGCACTCATACCTACCCCTAGCATCTTCATTTACAAATCAGTAAGTTGTTTTAGGGCTGACAGCTCCTGTGGATAACTCCAAGCAGCTAATAATTTATCTAGACAGTCAATATGAAGCTCACTAGCATCATTTCAGCTTGTACCGTCCTGTCAGCGGTGTCTTCTCCCACGCTGGCATGGAGAGTCACCGATTATAACTCGAATACCCTCCAAGAAGGTGGCAAACCTGAGCACGGCAAATGGTTCAACAAGATCAAAGGTCCAATCTTCGAAATAGACGACTGTACCCAGGGAAACTTCTTCAGAGGAAAGGATTGCACCGGCTATTTCACTGCTGTATACAGCGGGAAGGCCTATTTCAGGATTCCTTCTGACAGTGTTAGCTTCCGGGTTTACTGCTCCGCATAATAAGTCTCCTTTGGTCTTCTTAGGGTCACTTATAGACATGCTTATATGGAATACAGGCTCATTGGAAGCTATCCCATATGGTGTGTTTATGACTTGGAGTTGAGTTGCTTCCGGAACTGTAGTTAGTGTCTGAGGGAAAATTGAAGGTCTATTGCCATGAAACTGTGTGGAGAGTGTTTTTTACATTATATCTGGCTCTACCAAGCCTGACTGAGGCGTGACTGTCTTGCACAAATACATCCATTTCAAATACTCCTTACAAGCTCCCTCAATGCCTCCTCACCGTAATTCGCCCATATGCTCAAATGTGTCTCATCCACCACCCTTAAAGCTGCTCGGCCGCCGAGCCTTGCAGCTATCTGCACCCCATGGTTAAGTGGAACAGCAACGTCCTGTTTCCCATACCAAAGCTGCACAGGCAAATCTGGACGTATGTCTTCCACTCGAAAGCCAAAGCCCATGCACATCAGCCTGCCATCCTCTACTGCTGCGTCACTGCCTTGGGAAAAGCTTTGCCGACTTGTCCGTAGGAATAACCTCAGAGTACTTTCGTCCTTCATGATCTCACGGTCCTTTTCAGGCATGGACTTGGACTTCAACACCTCCTTTCGTAGTTTCTGGTATCGTTTCTCGTCATTTAGATCTAGGTTTGCTGCCAGCTGGCGTTTGAGATACCATCCAGTAGCCATGGGAAAGTAGCGGTATCCGAGAGTGAATCCTAGCCAGTTAGCCCAGCATGCGCCCTTCATACCGATGTCAGGAGGGCCGAGGCCACAGATGATAGAGACTGCTTTAAGTTTTTCTGGCGGTAGTGATGCAGCACAAGCGAGTGCATATGGCCCGCCTCCAGAAATTCCCTGTCGAATTTTGTCAATTTCTGATGTTCTTGAAGTAGTGTGATGGGATAGTTACTCCTAACCAGTACTCCATATATATCCAGTTTGAGATGGTTTGCAAGCTCTTCCAGATCCTTTGGGTGGTCAAGAAGTGACCGACCTGCATGAGGTGAGCTCCAGCCAATACCAGGCCGATCAATAGCAATTATACGGGCTCCCAGCTCACTGGCAAGATCTTCAAAACATGCAGCTTCAGTGCGAGCTCCCGGCAGGCCATGTAGATAAAAGATAGGCTTTCCCGTCAACAATCCATACTGCGCATATCCAAGTTTCCGGCCATCTGGCAGTGTTAATGCATCTGAACTGTCGTCATCGAGAGGAAATCGGCAACTTGGGGCTTCGGATGCATCTGTGGTATCCTCTGGGTCGCTCTGAGTATTTGATATGAAGCGATGTAGTATCCGTCGCAGGAAAGCCCGCAGCTTTATCAGACACATGACAGGTATAACAAGGCGAGTCAAGAAGATACCTTCATGAGATATAAGAAGTAGACGAGTACTTCTTATACCTCTGAAGGATCAGTCCATGGTGCAGGAATCCTTCAGGCCTCAGGCTGGGTATCGTCAGGCATCTCAGCATGGGAGAATTATCTCAGACGCACTTCTGCGATAGCCAGCCATCAACGTAGAGGTTAAAACGTCAGAATCACTCATGTCAGGGAATATAGACGGCCTAGCCAGCCCTGAGATACGGTATAGCAGCTATATCGATGGCTCGCTATATCGTAGCAGACGCAAAGCCGCACATGACAGGGATCACTTGACGACGTCACAGCCTCGCTCGCAGTCAAGGAAGCCCGCGAAGACGAACAATTTGCGATGCGACTTGCGACCAGCGACTCCCGCCAGCACTCGGAGCCATCCTGTCCCTCGTCGCCCTGCCCGATCGATGCTCGACATGCGCTGACCGGATAACACAGCGAAAGTTGTTGGTTTTGGACGAGAAGATGGCATACGACGGATACCGCACCTCGTTCGACCCCCCTGGGTTCAATCCCAACGCCAGCGCCAGCAACAACTACAGCAGCAACAGCAACAGCAACAACGGCGGCGGCGGCACCAACATCAACAACACCAAGCCGTCGAATGCACCGTATCCCGGCTATCTGCAGCCATCGTACGGAGAGTATCCTGTCGAGCAAGACCCGTCTTCCCATCCGCCGCCTCCCCCCCCTCCTCCTCCTCCTCCTCCTCCGCCACCCCAGCAGCAGCAGCAGCAGCAAGTGCCATACCCTGCGGCATCAGCAGCACCAAGCCAGGGAGTGGAGTTTGTTGAACAGGCGACGTACTATCCTCCGCCCGTTGGGCCTCCTCCCCAGGTCGGAGACGCCCTGAAGCAGCCGTTTTCACGCACATCGTCGCAGCCAGAACCGCCAACCCCTCGGGTACCTGACCCAAACTATCCGTCAACTGATCTGATAGCCCAGGTCACGGCAGCAGTGATACAGCAGCTCCGGGCGCCAGGCCCAGGGAACGCCCCTCCGCCGCCTTCTCATCCCTCACAGCAGCAGCCGCATCAACAGACGGTCTATCAGCCTCCAACGCCTGCTCTATCACAGTCCAGCTACAACAGGCAGAGCCCTAACCCAAACTCTCTCAGTCCCCCTATCACCACAAGCCCATATGGACCGCCACAGTCTTCTATATCAGGGCAGCCTGATCTTTCTAATGCGCCGGCTCAGTCGTCTTACCCTCCTATCTCGTCGAGGATTGATGGGAACGCATACAACGGCCCTCAGGCGCAAACTCTTACTGATAACGGCCAGCAGAAATCCACATCCCCCGGTATAGATAGAACGAGAGGATCATCTATTGGGTCGTTTAATGGTGGCCGGAATGGCACAAATCATACCAAGGGCCCATCATCTAGGCACTCAACTGTCACAAACGAGGCTATTTCTGAGAAGCCATGGGGAACCCTCTTTGATAAGGATGATATGCCTACCAGCAGAGCAGGACAGCTCCTGCGAGGTATTGCTCTTCATATGGTATGATAGCCTTTCTCTGATATATGCAGCTCATTTGCATGATATCTAACTAGTCACAGATTGAAACTTACCCACCTGGCAATACCCTGGTCATCACGCCAGAGAAGTTGCAGAAATTCTATCGTGATCACAGGGTATCTTCAGACACATACCCATGGCAAGGTACGGCTCCACTTGTGTCTTTCCCTTCATACCAAAGCTAACCATGCATAGATATCTTTGATAACCGGACATCATCCATCTCTCGCCTTTTCCGATCTTTGAGCATTGAACACCACCTCGTCCAAGACCAGCTTGACGAACGCCCTGATATCCCAGGCCTAACTCCACGTGGATTCGAGCGCTGGATGTCCATGATGATCCAAGCACACCCAGAGCGGGAATTTGAGCGAGTTCAAAATATTGTGCAGAACGTCTCCATCACTAACCCGGATGATAGGACAGAAAGATTCCCAAAAGAGCTACGAAGGAAACTTTTCCCACAGTTGCCTGACTATGATATCAAGGAGACTCTTGACAGATGGATAACTACGCATTGCCATGTCGAATTAACGCAAGGCATGCTTGGAGGGCCTCCCATGCGCCAACCCCGAGCCAAGTCAACTGTGGACAATACATCGACCGGCATTCCCTCACGGCCAGCAAGTACGGACGTCCGCCCCAGGCAGTTCCCACAGTCAGCAACGGTCGAAGACGCAATTGACGAAGATGACCATGTCATCGTTGCTAGCGCAGATGTCGCTGATGTTGATGCAGAAGCACAACCAGTGCAGCCCATTGAACGGGAGCGGAAACCTTACAGCATGCCAGGAGGGACCAAAGGGTATCGAGAAGATACTAGTCCACACCCTACCGCCCCTACCTCTCGTCACCCAGATTCTAACTCAGGAGTAAGCTTTGGCAAAAAACATGTGGTGGTTTATTCTGGTGACGATGACGATGACTTTTCGAGTCCTCGCGACGATGTCAACTCCAAGTACTCTTCTTCCCAGCACGGGAACACGCATCCACAATCTCATACTCATACCCATCCACATCAGCATAGCCATTCCCATACTCACGATGACTCCAAGCGACATCATGGACGGGACAAGGATAGAGATAGAGACAGAGACAGAGATCTAGACTGGGATGGGGACAAGAGCCGTCGTCGAACCTCATGGGGCAGTGATGAGGATTTCTATCGCAACCCCGTGTCAGATAGAGATAGGGGCAGAAAAAGAACGGAGAGTCGAACCCGTTTCTCTGATTATGACAAGTTTTGGGAATATCGTTGATTTGATTTTTATGTATTTATGTCAAACCAATGCCGTTAATGGGCGGAAGCAATGTTGGGTATTTCTTTTCTAGTGTAATTCCATAGTTTCGACAAAAAATAAAATAAATTGAAGAGTTGTTCATCTTTTCCCACCTTTCTTAAACCGGGCACTAACCTCCCTGCTACTCTCAGCATACTTCCTCCTCACCTCTTCTTCCCTCTGATACCTCCTGACAATTCGCTCATAGTCCTTCACTTCCCTCTCCGCTTTTTTCCTTTCCCTTCTTTCCTTTTCTTGCTCTTTAGCTTTGGACCTTTTCCTCTTCTTTTCCTCCAGCCCTACCCCTTCAATCCTCAATTGCTCTACCTGCTCTGGGGTCAAATACCACGGCACGGCAAGTACGTCAACCAAGACCCGCGTCCGTTCTTCCCAGAACCGCATCTCCCCAGCCATATCAGGTAGAAGCACAAAACGCTCTAGATGGAGCTGTCTTATATTGCGGAACGTTATCACTGTTCCTTTAAACTTAGCTATTACGCCAGGAACAAGAGACTTGATGTCCAACGCCTCTTTGGTGGTAGATGTGATGTATTCGGGGACTCGTGTTGTGCCTGCAGCTGCTACTGCTGCACCAGTCTCAGCTTTAACTGGCTGGGAGTCCGGCAATTCAACTTGTTTTTTTGAGCATACTATTTCAATATTTGACCCTGAACTGTCGTCTAGTGTCAATATTGTTCTTCGAATATGCTCTTCACGAGAGACGATCACACCCGCCAGACAGATAAACTGGATAGGGTGGTTTTTGTAGAAGTATATATTTTGTCCTATGGAGAGGTGTTAGCCATTTACACTCATAGCTTTTATTGTACCGTGTACTTGTGTTTAAAATACCTTCGTATCCGCTGCGACGTGTCAGATGATGGACATTTACGGCGCTCAGCTTCACCCATGCGAAGTGCGTCGGCGATGCTTTATAGCAGTAGGCTGGATAGAACGTGAGGCCGTCAGGGGGTATAAGCTCTTTCTTGGGATTATTTTTGACGCCATGCGCCATTTGGCCATTATCGCGACGTGATATGGCGTAGTACTGTTAAAATTCCGTATATAACTAAATGTAGCGCTTCAGTGTTAATGCTTATCATATTTTGATTGAAGTGTTAGGGTTTTAAGTTCGCGTCTGGCGCTTAACTAACTAGTTAATCTAGTTAGTCATCTTACGCGCTTCCACGACCATCACACCACACCACTGAACGAACATAAACCCTTTCTGGATACACGTTGACTGTATATCAAAATTTATACACGCATTTCAAGCACTACAGAAAAAAGTAAGCCACGTTGGGTGCCACATATACCATATAGTGACCATGCGGCTGGTATGGATGGTCATCGTGCGGACGAATGGCCCGTCAGATCAATGACCTTGCACCAAGAATCAAGAATCATCGCCTGGGACTATACCCTCCGTGCATACGTATTTTGCACCTTGTGCCATTATGGCACAGGAAGACACAGCTGCATCATCTCCAGTTACCAGATGCTCTGTCAAAGTGACCGGGGGGCCGGATAGCCTTGGCGGCAAAACAAAGTGAAGGCAGTGAAAATGATGAATGCAACAGTTGCAGCGAATGCAAAATCAACACATACATTGCAGTTTTCCTTTCAAGGACTGAAGAACAACTTACACGGATAATTACATCTCTCTCAACCAACACAGCTCAAACTATAAATCTATTCATCCCTAATCACGGCCAAACGCTTCAAGACAGATGACCCCGAGAGTGTTGCGGAGATAGCGGGAAACATCCAAGAGTACGTGAGAAGGTACAGTACTTTCGAGCCAAACCACAAATCTAGATGCCAGCTGTGGGGCGGATAGACGGCAGAAAGAGGCGACTGGCCATATACCCAAGCGGTAAGGTATGGCTATATATGAGGATCCGCCTGCGCGGTTTAGAAGGCCCGGCGACCGTATATCATATACGAAAAACAACCACGGAAGGGAGCAGCCGTATGTATTTCTCATCCTTTCATTACATTCTCCACCATAGTCAAGATAGCTGACACAGAGATAAGACCCGGGCGGAGTCCTTGGAAATGCCACTGAATGGACAGATTGATAGGAGACCCTAATGCCCTCATAGGTCATGGCATCAAAGGGGAGAACCTTGAGGTCCTGTGTTGTCCCAACTCCGCCGCAGCCCAAGGGCCCGCCAGAAGAGGCGAAAAGAGAGTGAGAGGACGCAGGACGAGAGGAGAGGGGGAGGCAGCGTCGACATCGCCCATAAATACTGACTGACTAGTACCTGTTATGGTTCGAATGGGTGAGTCATCTAACTATGATACCTGAGACTGAGATATCTAAAGGAAAGGATTGAGGCTGGAACAATTCGTTAGTTACCATGTATCGGATCAAAGAATTATGAACGGTAGTCTGGGGGCACCCCTACGATGTCACCATTGACGCCGCCCACACCCTTATAAATCAATATTCCTCTGCTCAGTATGAAGTGACTAACCTGGTGCTTCTTATAGTTATCAATATAACACCCTCTTACATTTTGACGATGCCAGCGAGAGCAAGGAAGATAAGCGAGAAGAGGCGGCTGGAGAATCAGCAAGATTATGGGTAAATTGACGATAAAGTCGCTACCTGTTGCATAAAGTATCCTGCCTTTGTATCGTAGAATACCCCCGAAGGTATGTTATACGCATACATGTACCCGTTGATTCTCTGCCCACTTATCTTCTAGGTTTTTGAAGAGCTCATGGACGAGTCATATGCAGTTATACTTGATCACATTCGCCCAGATATCCCCGTTCCTGGTGCAGCCCTGTGCATTATTCAAGCCACGGACCTAGACTCAATTACCCAAAGGGTCCCGCAAGCCAATGCCGGACTTCATTTCACCCTTCCTGAATGGGACTGATGAACAGATCCAAACTGGGGTGAGAAGCATTGCGAGCGCCAGCGTGAGATTTTTGCGATGAGAACACATACAATCCTTGACCAAGATTCAATCGGATGGGATATCTGGGCTTTGTGGAGGACGATCAAGATCAACGGATGATTTACGAGTGCTTCTATGCTGACTTGCTGTCAAGGATTGCCTCGCACAAAAACTTGATTAGCTGGAGTGAAGCAGGTACCACCAGAATTTTGTAAATACGAGATATATGGCCGCAAGTCAATTGATTGGAGAGAGCAGATGCGCAAAGAAGACCCCAGAAGCAAAATGTTGTGGAAATCATACCTTTGGATGTAAGCAGCTGGCCGAGTTTGATCATTTTGGTCGGCAGCTAGTCAGTGCGTGAAATGAGAGGAGGCACCCATCGTAACACTCCCGGAGCGGCAAACCAGATGTGTCTGCGAAGTCCGCCATGTCAGCGAGGCAACAAATGAATCACACATTGTAAACGTACGTAGGAGCTTGCTTTGTGGCCTGTTGGCCTAGTATCTGCATAGATCGAAATATCGAAATACTCCGTCGTACTCCGTAGTCGCCGGAAGTTATCAAGTGGGCTTGGCGTTCCCCACAAGGAGCGGTAATTCTGCTTATATAAGCTAACCTAATTCTGAGCACGGACGCTGGGCGGGGCTAGATGTCGATCACGTGTTTGTCGGGCGAGCTCCAGCGGGCCAACGAAAGAACATCGCAGCGCCAATACTATATAAAGTCAAGAAAAGGCGAGAAAGCGGAACTTGTCGTCTAGTGCTAAGCGAGATGGAACGGGAGGTGGCGACGGAGCAACGATCCCAACATTTTTCGACTTTCAAAGAAAACGAAGAATACAAGGCGAGGTACGGAGTCAGAGACCATGAGATGGCCGCCAGAGCAAACTGGAATATGTGTTCAGCCGGCATTGTCCAATACTCTATGCCTGGCAAACAAAAGACCATCGTCTGAGAGTTGGCATGCAGCATCATATCCACATCAGACATGTTTGCTTCAAACATAACTGTCACTCAGTATGCTATATTATAAGCTAGCCACCTATCTATGCCAATCTGCATAAGTAGGGCGCTACCCCAGAGCATCATGTCTGTTTTATTTGCCTGTATACCAAATCTGATGTCTGAGAGAACTTGTTTGCCCCGACATATTAATCGTTACTCCGAAGCAGCCTGGAAATATGGTATGCTCAGTTTTTAAGTTGGGCTATTTCCCTGTCTTATTCTTCTACCCACCGATACCTCTTCCATTGCTCCACTTATGCCATGGCGCTCCTTCAAGCTTGGTTCGCCTTAATTCTGCTTCATGCAAGCCTCTCAGCAACATTTCCTTATCCCAACGCCACTCGACCACTGTCTGATCGAGATGTATCTATAAGCGGGAATAGATATTATCCACAAACACCCACGAGGGACCCGACATGCAATCAATCGGATTATGAGAAAGTCGACTGCCCTGCTCCGTCTATCTGCTACCATCAAAGAGGAGGTGCTCCAGCCTGCTGTCCTCCAGATACAAACTGTGATCCACCATGGATGAGAGGCCCTTCGCCTCCGATCCAGACACCTATGCCGTCCCAGTCGGGCTCAACTTCAGAGTCGAACCAAGCCAATGGAAGTGGGAATTCGGGTGTAGGCGTCAGTGGCAGCTCGCGGGCAGAAAACCACAATTCGAACAACTTCAACGTGAGCGTAAGAAATGGTGGAACCGCAATGTTTAAAAGCAAATTCGCAGGGTTATTATCTATACCGGTCCTGACAGTGGCGGTCCTCATTATGTTGTAAAAAGCACGGAAGATTAATAATTAACACATTTCAAACTGAACGCAAAAGACTGGTCTATCCTCCCTCCATCATTCTCTTCTTCGGATTCCTTGGGATTGGCTCTCCCCTCCGTGCCTCTTCCTCAGCTCTATCAACCAAGACAGTCTGATCTGCTTCATCTACCCTTGAGCTATGTTTCTCCTGCTTTTCGTGTCCGGCCATTGCAATCTCTAATATGTGATTTTCCATCCCCTCGATAAGGTTCCACTGAACACCAGCCTCATCGAGCTTCTTACAGCCTTGTGACTGGCCAACGAAGGTTCCTGGCTCCTTCACGCCGAAATATACCCTGTCGATACCGTTTTTCCCATCTTTCCTTGTTTCGATGATACGGTCCACACAAGGCTTGTTACCGGAAAGTCTTTTTGCACATGGCTCCATGGTAACGTATAGCTCTATCTGAGCCTCGCTGTCTTCTCTGCCTCGCTGCTTTTCTAGAATTTCTCCAAGATCCTCCTCAGCTACACCATAATGGGAGGCGAGCTTTGCAAAACAGCACTGTTCTGCGTGAGTGTTTCCGCGTAGCTCCAGAGTGTACCCTGTTGACAGTATTGTTTCCTTGAGCTCCGCGGTATCGCTGGTGGGATATTGACGAAGAAGCAGGATGGCCCCTACACGGAAGTTGGTTGGTTTAGGGGGCGACTGGGACGCTAATTCTAGACACTGGGATAGGTAATGGAGATGCGTTGATAGTGGTACCGTCCTAGGGGAAGACATTGTTGTTGGTTGTACCTCGCCGTTTAGTAGCAAGTCTGGTGTTGATCTTCGTTTTTCGTTTCGTGCGCCTGCCTGGACAAGTGCTGAGAAAGCTATGACGTAACTAGTGTATGATGACTAATGATTCACGTGAATTTAGAGTTCAAAAAGATGGACCTAAGCAAAAACTCAAATTGTTTAATCTGAGGACAACAAGCGACCTCATATAAAAATTATATTCTCCTGAGTATCAATCCAAAGGGCTATATGTCAATCCATAAGGGTATAGATTTAACAATACTGTTACGTTACCAATTGCCCTTTAGAGCCTTCGCAATGCCAAATACCCGAGAATACTGTTCCAATTCGAATAGCACAACTCCCAACTAAACCCTGGCCACCATTCCGACATCGAAGCCTGGTGCTTGTTTAAAGTAATACCCGCGCTGATTGGTTAAGATCCTGCTCTTAGACCCCTCTACCTCAAGTGTAAAGTCACAGTTGAAATGCGTGTGTCCAAAGGCCCAAAGACATACATTGGGGCTCTTCCAACACTCCTCAGCTGTCAAACCCGTTGCAAACCCCCCACTAATAGGACCACCTATATGCATAGGACTAGTGGCTCTCACATCGGCAGAAAGGGGCCCATAATGGGTGAAAATGACAATTTTCTTTCCAGGCTCCGAGGACATGATGGATGTAACTTGTTCATTCAGCCATGCCTGATCACCAGCATGAGCGATGTTGTGACCCGGCACCGACCAGTTGTCAATTCGAAAGAAGTGTTTCAGTCCTATACCCAGAGCTGTCTCTTGCTGGACAAGAATATGCGAGTATAGCGTGCACCCCAGGACTGTAATATCAGCGGTTACATCGTATCTTGTCCGATCTAAGAAAACGAATGTTCCGAGCCCTTCATCATTTCGCTGGCTGACCTTCTGCCAAAAGATGGTAATCTGTTTCCTTGACTCTTCCCAGTTAAAGTTATACTTCATGATTCCCCATCAGGAAGAAAACAGTCTGGAACCACCAAAGTTGGGTTTCGATGGTGAAGAACCCCTTGTCGCGGACATTGCCTATGTCGCCTAGCAGAGCGAGATAGGGGGCTTTCGGTGGGGCGGAGAAGAGATTATAAGCCGAGGGAGATTCCAGGTGCAAGTCAGAGAGTATCTGAATATCCATGGCGACGGCTTGTAGAGCATCGGTGATTTAAGCGAAGGCTCTGGATGAGCGTGGTGATAACAGTAAGTAGTGAAAAGGAGCTTATTGGTGTTTTTATAACTAGCTAACTTGATGGCGTTAACTAGTGTTATAGTTCCACGTTTAGACAAGGAATTGTTGGTCCATCGTGTGAGGAACCCTTGAGATCATACAACTGGAGGACTCAAGCTGGTGGGCCCGGGAGCAGCCGTATGTCATTTCTCTTTAATGTCATGCATTAACAAGTAGGACTCTCCTCTTTTTTCTAATTTTTTGAAAAAAAAAAAAAAAAAAATTAAAAAAATTAAAAATTAAAAATAATAATGAGTACGCGTCCTTTGGGCATGGCTGCTGGTTGCTACTACAACTAGCCAGACTTCCAGGCCCTGAGGTCCTAAGGGGCTCAAGTTCTCGCTATAAGCCTGTTCTTCCTTGAGACTATCTATTCCTGTCAGTCTCTCCCACAGTCACCTCTTCTTCCCCCCTCCTTCATATTATACCCCTGCTCTCATTTGCCAATTATCGCTTCTAGTCTAGGGCGTTTAAGTTCTTTGGTTTCCTGTGCCTGACACTTGTTATTAGTTTTTACCCCTGTTGACGGCCACAGCTCTTTAACTCGTTAACGCGTATAGCTAACTCCTGCAGTAAGATGTTACTTCAATGTGCCCATGTTTTCGCTACATGAGAGCAACTGTCACCAGGTTCTCCCCTATACTGACTTTCTATTGTAAGGCCTTCGATGGTCGAAAGAGTCCTTCAGCTAAATAAGCTGGTTTCTTTGCACTCACTCTTTAGGAGTATGCATACGAAACTGGGAACTTTTACTCTTCGCTAACCATAGCCTAATTTGGCCACTTTCGACATCTAGCCTAGCATTCAAACAAATAGGAGTGTCTTGCCACTCCCCGAAAGCCCGGGCTGACCGCTGCATGGAAATACGATCTGATACCACCATTGAGCTTCTCAGGCTGGTAGTTCTTCGGTTCAAGAGTATACCAACATATATGGTGTTGAATTGTATGTATCAAATGGTTACTCTGCACATAGTTGCTCTGAAGGAGTGCAGACCTCAAGTATGAAGCCTCAATCACAATTTAGGCAAGCTTTAAGCTGTTATCGTAAGCCGATATAAGTCGCAGTCCAGGGATTTTCGAACAGTCACTCAACGATGGCTTGGGGGACGGCAAGATGATGGCACGGTGTGAACATAGAGCTTCGACATGCTGTTATTAGTGTGGGGGTCACTCTTTGGCTCAACCGATTGGACACAAATCTCTTGTTAAGGACAACGAGGTAGATCTGGGAAGATTTCTAGCTCTGCCCCAACTTATCATGAAAGGTATATATATGGTAGTAGACACTTCAAATGTTCGAGGAAATATCCAATTGTTCACACCTCAGAGTAACGGAGGCTAACCTTTCTACTGTTTGGCTACATCCTACACCCTTTCTCGTCACTCTACTCAACCCAGCTCCGACGCTCATCTAAAGGAGATTATAGACCTCAGAATCTTGTTCTACAATGTTTACTTGTTGTTGTTTTTTTTTATTTTTTACTCCCGAGCTACGATCAAAGAACTACAAGAGAAGTTCCCGGAATTTTCTAACACATATACGATTGTTATCGGCGACCTGAGTGTCTGGAAACATCTTCCTAAGGGACGGCGAACGGCGGTGAGAAGATAATTATATGTTTATATTGCTAAGATCTCTCACTCTAAGATGTTTGTTATAGGACGTTGATTTACTGACCTCTATCCCTGGAGCGCCGCAAATTGTGAAGCAGAAGCTGCTCGGTGTCCCAGGAACCCCCTTTACCCAGCAGTCACAGTACTTTTTGTGGAGGCACCCTGAGGGAAAGAATATTCAGGTAGACTTTCCACCATCATGGCAGGTAAGTTTAGCCCTAATATTGCTGCAACCTCCTTTAATCGTTATTCAAGCTCTTCTAACATCCGAATAAAGTTCCCCTTTTTGCCTTCTGGAGCCCTGCGCCTCGGCCAGGACAGGCTGCCCGATCTTCCGCACGCAACTCCCGAGGACCTACTAGCCTTGAAAATCAATAGCTCTGGGCTGCGCGCTACGATTGAAAAAAGAACGGTAGATGCCGCAGATGCTGATGCTCTTGCTGAGATGCTTCTGGGCAGGGGGCCCATTGTCCTCACTGCAGAAGAGCCATCGATCATCTTTTTATCGGAAGCTGAACGCATCACTCTCTTGCGCGGAGCTGGCAGCACTTACAATGCACGCTGATATCCGATAGGTATAAGTACCTATTAGTTTATATAGTCTCTCCTTAAGTTCTTTCTCTTTCTATTAGTTAAAATAGTTCGTCAACTTGATTTGATGTCCATTTGATTGTATCAAATTAACTATAACATTCATTTTACCTTCTTTCTCTTTGCTTTCGCTTCTATTGAACAGCCTGCATGAGCTAATCTCTCATCTTCGGCCTAGTACTATAGGGGCAAGGGTTAGGCCTTACAAATAACGTAGGAGAGGTGATTGTGAGAGGGGATCAAAGTAGCCAACCCTCACAAGCTCTTTAGTTACTCGCAATTGGTGGAGTAGCGCCGGATTTGCTGAATAATAGACATTACGCGTTTATCTATTTTCCAAAGCCAGTGCGGCTCTATCAAATAACGAATATTTTAGATTCATTCATCTAACTCCGCGCTTCTATTGATACTCCTCAATACACTCATCCTTCTACCAGACTTGGGGCTCTGCTAAGCGGGATATCAGTAATAAGTCAAGATACTGTGGAGATGGCCCCCGCACCACCAAGTTCTACGCTCCAAGTCTCAAACTTTTCACCAGCAGAGTTATCCTACCTTCACACCTCACTCTCGTATCCCAAAAACCCAATTCGACCAGATGGCCGCTCAGCAACACAATTTCGGCCGTTAACAGCAGAAACAAACATAGTACCGAATGCGAATGGCAGCGCGCGCATAGGATTTGCCGACGGAACACAAGCAATTGTGGGAGTTAAAGCGGAGGTAGAGAAGACGGTGTTTGTGAGCACACTGGAGCAGAGCGCGACGCAGGAGCACGAGGACGAAGATGAAGATAAAGAGTCAAGTGGAGGGAAGATAAAAGTGTCGGGATCCGGCTCATGGGTTGAGATGTCCATTGAGATTCCAGGCTTGAGAGATGATGACCCGTTACCCGTATTTTTGGCAGAGATGATGAGGGAAGGCCTCATACAGTCTGGATCGGGATCATTAGCGGGATCAGTTAGCTTGAAGGAGAGGCTGGTTATCAACAAGGGCTGGCATTGGAGAATTTACATTGACGTGAGTTCCTTGTCACAAGCATATTGCGAGCTACGCGGCCTACTAATGTGCTCAGATATTACTACTTTCCCCGCCGCTATCATATCCTCTACCGTTGCTATCTCTAACGACACACCTTGCACTACTATCTACCAAGCTCCCACGACTAATATCAAAAGACGAAGAAGACCCAATGTTTGACGATGATTGGGACGCAGCTGAATATTTATACCCTCGTAAAATCTCTAAAACCTCTCCTACACAGCATATATTCCGCCCGCCAATATCTCTTCTAGTTATTTCCGTTGGGCAAAATGTGATATTTGATCCAAGTAGAGAGGAAATTGCTGTTGCTGACTCTGTCTTCTGTGTCTCTGTTGCTCGAGACGAGAACAAGCAGATGTCAGGGCCTGGAGGCTTAAAACTACTTGCTATCCGAACTATTGATCCACCAGCCCGTATGACACATCCTGGAGTGTCGGATGCCATTAATGCAGCTACGATAGGACTCATGACTGCGGACACTAGCAACGTTTCCACTAGTACTGAGATTGAGGGGGTTTGGACTCCTCGCCGCGGTGGAGTGAAGAGGGAAGTTGTTTCGAGGATTGCCAAGTTGGTTCTTCAACCTGGCGGCGTGGGTGATGAGGTCATGGAGGGACTGGAGATGGTGGATGTCGACTGAGATGGAGTGTGAGAAAGTGGATATAACTATTATTCCTGAACAAGGCAATTGTTCGAACACGCCGACCACATAACGGTTGCCAGAGGCTTTTGCTAAGCCCGATGCCAACAACCTGCGAGAAAATTTACAAGGGTCCGATGGAAAACAGCAACCATCCGATAGATGTTATACGATCACAGAAAGTCCCTGCACTGGGTATCAAGTGAGAGTAGATATATGACATCCTACAGACAAATCAACGGAATGTAATCCTCCAAAAATGTTTATCGTCACATAGTATACATTAGGGAAATTCAAGTATCCCCCCGTCTACAAATTAACAAGGTAAAGTACTTTAATTTCTCACCAAATGCCCAACCATCTCTTTGGCTTTCTCATTGGCGCAGTACCATCTGAACTCACGCTCTGGACGTTATCCGCGCCCTCTACCACAGCATTCTCAACCCCTTCAGCGACATGGGCATCGTCCGCCTTCACCCTATCATCTTCCTCCAGCCCATGGGCAATACGGTACTCCTTGCGTTTATCAATATCATCTGAAATCCTCTTCCGCTTCTCCTTTGATATCACCGTAGTATGCTCGGCGTGCATCTTCATAACTGTAAAGAATTGAGATATAGTACTCATTGGGCTCGAGAATAGCTGAGACCAGCCTGGTAGTAGATGTGCGTATGGAGATGTGCGTTTAAAGTTCGTCGACCAAGTGAAATATGCAAGGGAGAAAAGGACGCTCTGTTCAACACTGTTAGGATTTTAACGTGACTTGATAGATTCACGCCAATGCTTACCATCGATATCCAGACATGAATGCCCTTGTTGGTTAGAAACTTGAATAGCACTGTACCCTCCGGAGGGAACATGTTGGGGTATCTCTTCGTCTTGCGATCTTCTATCTCCTTTGCGGTTGGAGGAGGACCGGGGTAGTTCCTGGGTGTCTTGTTGGGATTGACCACTCGGCGGGCTGGGTGAGATGGAGGGCGAAATTTGTCTGGCTTCTCGAGCACCCTGGGCTTTGTAGGAGCAGCATGAGAGGCTGAGGAAGACGAGAAGTTGGCATGACGGAGGAGCGTCCTTCGTGGAGTGATTCGGAGATATTGTAGTGAGGATTGGGAGAGGCCTCCTCGCGGGAGGAGAAAGGACGGTATACCTGATGAAGCAGCCATTTTGCCGCCTCCTTTACTCACCACTGCTAGTTTGAAGAGATTCTATCTTCTATCCCAGTGCACTTCTTCTCTATCTCGTCACTGTCATGAAAGTTGAGATTTCTATATCACGTGATATGGTTTGGCTTTTGAGGCTCTCTTTAATATGATTGGTTGATCATTTGATGTCGAGACAGCAGTTGAAGCGACTATCAGTAGATGGATTCTCGAAAACAGTTCAAGACTGATGGTCTACTCCGTACTCCTATTGTTTGACTAAACTCTGCTGATAGCAATTTAATAGTTGCTGGGAAAGTACTTAGAATATCATCAACCTAGTTGCGCTTCCTCCCGGCATAGCTACCTCGCTTCTTCTTCTCTCTTCTCAGCCATACCATTATTATAATACTGTATTTATCACCAAGTATATCTCTTCGCTCTCCGTCCGTATTGTCATCTAGCGGCTCCTTTAATATACAGCACCGTCGCCTCCTTACTGCTGCTCCCTTGCTCGGGCAGGTCTATTCAGTCACGTGAAGGATATTTTGGCCCGGGTCTCTCCGGCTTTTCCCGGTAACTGCCAAGGCCGTGACTAATACTGTTCTCTGATTGGCTATTCTCCCATATCAACCAATCAGCGTCTTCCTAAACCCGCGCTCCTCCGTCATCAAGCCAAAACACGTGCTTTTTCTTTTTCTACGTCAAGAAATAAAAACTTTTTTCACTCTTTTCAACCTTTTTGCTTCGAATTCAACTTTTCTTCCTTCCATTAATCCGCTGCATTTATCAAACAAACGACTCTATATACCCTCAATCGACGTCTTTTAGACTATACCGATCCTTCGTTTCCGTCTCGCACACATACTCTGACACAATGGCCAAGGGTGCTGATTCTTTTTCTCCTGGTAAGTTGTTGGATTGAGCCGGCTCTAAGCAAAAAGGACAGCAGAGAGAGCTCGGTGCAGCTTGGAGATCAATAGAGGAGATGTCGGATAGCGATAGGGATAATTGGGATGGACATAATGGCCTGGCCGTTACTTCACTCTGCTTGTTTGCTGCTGCTGTAGCTCTAGAGTGAAGGATAAGGCAAGGGCTAGTTTACAAAAGTCCCATGAGCCCTGTCATATCCCTCTGTCCTACTGGTATCGAAGTCAGTAAGATGGCAGGCTTATCAACAGCTACTTGGCATCTTGCTATTTTTCTCAAAGCTGCACTGTCTTTCTTGCTCTCTTACATACTATCTGTTATCTGCTGCTGCTTGTAACGCTCATCATGTGTGCAACATGCTCTATCTGGGCCCTGTCAGTCATTGATAGCCTTGTTGAAGATGAAAAGCGCAGAGAGCAGCAGAAACAACAGGGACTGTTGAAAGAATTGGATAAAGCTAACGAACTTGCCCGTCTTCCAGGTGATGCCTCCAAGGGTGCCGGTCTCTTCAAGGTCAGTAAAAAGCAGCTCAACTTTTGCTTTTACTCTTCCCCAGCTAAAATATCTCCAGACCCGTTGTGCTTCCTGCCACACCCTAGAAAATGGCGGCGCCAACAAAGTCGGCCCTAACCTTTCCGGCCTCTTCGGACGCAAGTCCGGTCAGGTCGAGGGTTTCTCCTACACTGATGCCAACAAGGAGAAGGGCGTCACCTGGGACGAACAATCCCTCGTAAGTTTACATCGCCTTTAAATCAGCAAGCGGTGTCCTAACCGTTTCATAGTTCGAGTACCTCGAGAACCCAAAGAAGTACATTCCCGGTACCAAGATGGCCTTCGGTGGTCTCAAGAAGGCCAAGGACCGCAATGATCTCATCACGTATGCTCACTCCGCCCCATTCTTTTCATGGTTATGCATCTAACAATCACACAGTTTCCTCAAGGAGAATACCAAATAAATATCTCGACCCGGCATCTCTCTATGACACACCAACCCACCTGTACCATCTAACTCTTTCGTATACAATCTCCGCCTAATATTCCACTGTTTCTCCACCATTCCTCACACCTTTATCTACACATTAACGGAATGGACGAATTACGAGGACCCAGGGAAAAAATAGAAGGTGGCATGTACCAATAATACCAAAAGATCATTTTCTTTCCACTTAGATCTTACTCCTTTATCTTCGTCTTGTGTTTTTATTTTTTTATGTTGTTTCATAGTACTGTACCTCTGATAGATCAAGGGAATCTTCTTGTTTCTCTGACTCCTGTTCTCTGCTACCAACTTGTAACATGTCTCCTTTGATGTCGTGTCTTCTGGTACTCGAGAGTCACCTTACTATACAGTCTCCGCTCTCAATCCATTATCAATCAGTGCATTCTAATTTCATCCTAAATCAACGGTACCATACAATCTAATGGCAGAATGGCCATAGGTTTATTGAATAGAAAGAACTCCTACCCATAGAACTTCAATGTCTGTATGCATGCAACGGTTGACCATTCTCTACTAATTATCTCTAGCAAGCCAATGATTTAAAGCAATGGGTCCTACCCGGAGCCTTGCTTGCTTGAGGATGCAGGTTGTATGCCGTACCCACAGCTGAGATTGGATGGTGATGGCATTAGAGTATTTTAAGGTTATTTCAACCACAGTCTTTCAACTCCCACATCAACCAACAACCCCAGACCATGGAAGACGCCTGTGATATCGGACAAGACTCCAAGATGTTAATGTGAGGCACATATGTCTCTTCCTCGGGATGCTGAGATGGAGACGGCCAAGAGAAAGACGATCTGGGTATCAGCGTAAATTGTGGAGGGAGAGCTACCCTAGCAGTCGAGGCCCAAGAATATCAACAGACCTGAGATGAGATGATAGATAAAGGTCCTATACCCGTCGAACAGAAAGATCATCGTCGCTTCTTTATCGACCTTACTGCATACGTCCAGCCTGGGTATGCTCACTACTGCGAAAGCCAAGTTGATAGCGGGCATTATTTGACAGAATCTCGACGAAAGTCTTATCCTACCGGTCAACCGGGATGCTGACGCATCAACGACTCCCGGTTTTTTGCCGCTAGACTGTGGAGGATAGCCAGCTCAGACTTGGTCTAAAGGAGAGGTCATATGATACTTGTACATGGCTCTAGCGGTGCTGGGTGTGGATATCAGAAAATGGCTCCCCTCATGCTCTCTCACGGTTCCAACGACTAGACGACGATCTCGAGCTAGAGAGCAGCGGGCATTTCTTACACGAAGACCTTAAAGGCTATCCTTGGGACAACAACTGGGGGAGAGGGGGTACAGGAGTGGCATCCCGCGGGGAACTTGATATGAGAACTAGCGATGAGCTTGACGGTGCAAGGGCTCGCCCGCAACGACTACGAAGAAGCATCAAGAGCATCAGTATCCTGGCCAATAAGTAACATCTTAAGATACAGGCATAGCAGATGAAACACGGCTTCCCGTCGCATAATTGGACCAGCCACCGCCACCAGGCCCGATTACTGGCTGAGAGTGCAGGTCAGTTGGCTGCATCTCCAGCCAACCATGCGCCCGGCGGAGACACCCTGTAAGACCCGGGCCAGTTGCGAGTCCGGAGAGGGCCAGCGATGATTCTCGAGCTTCTGCAGAGACGAGAAGGGCGGGGATCTCTCGCAGTTCATGATAACGTGACGCAAGTTCCTGGGTTGTCCGGCCTCGACTTCGACTTCGGCCGCAACTCTCAACTACTTCGGCCTCACCTCTTGAACAGCTGCAGAGCGTTATATTCTACCGTTAAGAGAGGAAGAAGTGCTGCCGATTTTAAATAATAAATACACGAGCCATAACTACTGAACTAAGCAGACTGACGATCCAGGCTGAACTGGTGAATACCGGCGGCGGCTATCGATATCGCGCCTGTTTGAAAACCAAATACGAAGAACTGAAAAGACTCAAGAATAAGACCTCAGGTCTCATGAATGAATGTTCCAGAGACAGTCCCTCTGAGTATATCTGAATGTATAATTGCCCAGTTTGAATTTGATCCTCTGCTCTGGATTCATCTGAACCGTGTTTCTTACACAACGGACAGCGCATCGCATCGCACCGATCGCATCTTCAACAGTGAACGGTCTGAGATACGACCCTTTATCTTTCTCATTTTCTGGCCTACGCAAGGCAGCAGTCGCTTTCTTCTTATCGATAACTACGCAAGGTTGTCGCAACATCTTTTGCGTCTCTACGTTGTTTCTGCTTTTCCATCCAAGGGTAAGGGAGGAAGATACCTTGTGAGCATAGTCGCAAACGTCAATCTGACTCTAGAAAAAGAGATATCGAGAGACATCGATATATCGACGGGCATACAAAACGTCGTACCCGATCAACCCAGCATTGGCAGCAGGACAGTCATCTCTAAGGCCTCTACCGGGTCCAGGTGAAACGAAGCACTTCCCCCCGCCGCGCAAAAGAACCACACGGCCAGCGCATAGCTGAAGTAACAAAGAGAGGGAGACGTCGCTGCCATGATGGCAACGGATCCCATACATGATCTGGACAACGTCTTTGATGACCATCCGTCCCTCGATGCCTCGCTAGAAGACTTTGAAGAACAGTACGCGCACCGGTCACCGTTCTTCGGTCTTCCGTCGCAACATTCTGGCTTTCGCTCGGGTATTTCAGAAGCTTCTCCATCTGAGCAAGATGGGAACATCTCTCGGTCAAGCAGTCCATGGTCTCCGCCTGGTCTACGGGCCACGTTCACCAGGCCAGATTATCATACGCCCAAACAGCATTCAGCTCTAGGGTATCATCCAGCAATGATGGCTGGCGCAGCATGGTACAGACAGCAGCCGTACATGCGTAACCAGCCCGACTTCAAACCAGAGCATTTGCAACCACACAGCCCTGGGACACGGTCCAGGGAAGTCAGTCCTCAGTATGAGGATGCGCCTGAGAAGCCGACATCAACGACCACGGCAACAGTGACCCTGAAGGAAGAGACAAGTGAACTAATAATACCAGCTACCATACCACTACCCCAGGGAACAGATTCACCCGTCAAAGGTCGTTCTCCAAGTCCGTCTCCAGAAAGCAGAACAGAAGCCCCAAAGGCGACGGCAACTTCAATTACAGAAGCGGACGAGAGGAACAAAGGTGATAAACACGAGTTCAAGGCAGTCTCTGACTGCAAACCAGAGAAAGAGTCCGAGTCGATTACGAATTGTAAGATGGCTTGCCTTTTTTACCCAGAATTTACTTGGAACCATGACTTATTGACCGTCTAGATATCCGATTTGCAGTCCGCGCTGAAGTCCAACATCGCGAACCATTTGTCGCATTCTTCAACTACATGGGAGCAAAGTTCGATTCGATGACACAGACCAGATCGTCGACATTACTGTCCGTGGTGGTTGCGCTGATATCACTTACATTCATGCGGGCATTATTTTTGCCGCCGCCGCTACCACCTGTGCCGGACATTGTCAAGTTATCCAGCTTCACAAGGTCGTTTGAGCCACTAATATATTATTCAGAGAATGGCGTGCAGCAGATTGGGACGTTGCAGGAGACCGGGGTTGCAGTATGGGACCTGGCTGAGTCCGTACGGGGAACAAACATGACAAGTGCCCCGATCATAGTGAGAGAACTAGATGAGCTGTCTCAATCGTTGAACTCGCTCTCACTGGAGCTCACGCGGTTCTTCGCCAATGTCGACGCAGACATTGATTCCATTCTAATAGTGATGGAATGGGCACGAAGAGAGCTCGAAGCCCTCTCATCTCAACCACCCAATACCCTATCGTCGATATTCTTCGATAATTTCCACAACATGCTGTCACGTCTGGGTGTGCTTGAGACACTACCAACCGGCCTATCGGCTAATGCAAGCAACGGACTCAGCAACGAAACAATGGCCGACATGCCCGTTGCACCCATTCCCACACGTCTAGGCTCATTGATAACGGCGCTATTCGGCCGCACCCGCTCACAGCGCACCCAGCTGACACTAACCCACGCCTTCACCGAGCTGCTCTCGGTGCTTGAAGAAAGCATAAACAACGAACTAACCCACTCCACCTCTCTCTTCACCCTCTTCGAGTCCATAGACAGACAATTCCTCAACCTGCAGCGCACTGTTGTTCGAGAATCCAACGCCCAAGAGCGCGCCGAGGGAGAACTGCTTTCATCCCTATGGACTCGTGTCTTGGGCTCTAATGCAATGGCACTACGCAAATATGAGAAAAACCGACGCCTGCTTTCCTCCGTGCGCCAACGGACAGTCGCAAACAAGCATCTACTCATGGACCATCGAGGCAGACTCCTCGCGCTGAAAGCAAACCTCGAAGCCCTCCGGCGCAAGCTTGTGAGCCCCCTTCTCAGGGGCGGCAATAGTTCAATGGGCATGACGCTTGGTCCGTTGGTGGGGATAAGTACCACCTCCGCACATGGCGGCGGTGTCGGAGGCTCAGGTGAAGATGCGGTTGGCGGAGAGAATGCGATGGAGATGATTATCCATGGACAGATAAAGGGGCTAGATGGAGCGCACGATTACCTTAAGGAAGTCAGGGATAAGCAGAAAGCCAAGTTGATGGAGATGGTTTATGGGGCTGGCCGACGGGTTGGAGGGAATGCGTTGGTTGATGGAGATTTAGAGGGAGAGGGCGAAGGGGAGAAGGCTGATATCGAGGGCATGGAAGAGAAGTGAGAGAAAAAGTCCTTTATTGTCTCTATTTGTGATACTCTGATATCTTGCATGGGATGGTCGACCCCTGGACGGACTGCCACGGCGTTTTTGATAAGCATGTTAGGGAGGAATACAAGGTGAGTAACTGTTCATGCTGGAATAGATGTATACTAACACGGGGCATAGATTGTTTGATTTTTTTTTTTTCCTTATATTATTTTGATATCTATCTTCGTCATCTTCCATTACTTCATGTATAGGACATACTTTTCATAGCATAGCATTTTTAACTACCTAGTTACATCTTCCCTCAGCCTCTACCTGGGTTGAACATAAATTAAACAAAAAGAAAATAAATAGCCAAATGAATATGCCTTCGCTTTTATCTTATAACACAGCGTTTCCCCAACCAACCCCCACGCCCGAACACCAAGAGCACCCATCAAGTAAAAGTAAAAGGTAAATGTAAATGTAAGCAAAGTAAAGCAAGCAATTAAAAGCCGTATCCCTGACCATAAGGCGTCGCACCGTACGGCGTCGCACCACCTGCCCCGCCCCAGACGCTCCCACTCCCACCCGCACCCGGCCCAGCACCAGGGCCAGCTCCATTCGCACCCCCGTAGGCTGTGAACCCGCCATCGATACCTTCTGGCGGCTCATATGCATCCGGACTCCTGGCGCCAGCACCGTCCTGATCGACTCCACCGTTAACCATGCCGCCCTGTCCATCGGAACCCGTCAAGCCGGAAATGATCTCAGCTAGCTTCCGCTGCATCATGATGATACCTTGCTGCACCACTGCGTCGGGTTCGAGGTTTCCTATACTTTCTATATCGATGTAGAATGTGTTGGGGGTAGCGTCGTAGTTGAACGGGAGGTCCTTGGGCTGGGCTGTTTCCCATCCTGCGTTCGCAGATAATGGCCTACACAGCAGGTTAATACACTGATCTCAGAAAAGAACGAGGTCTGACAACCGGCTTCATGTCCGAAGCAGAAACTTACCATTCCTTAACTGGGTCCTCTTCAAACCAATAATCCACATGACGCAGGTTATTATGCGGATCATACTCGAACCCAACCGCCGCCGTCGGCGCCCACTTGGCATGTTCCTTTGCAATACCCTTCTTCACAATACAATTGAACTTGACCTCCTGCCCTCTTCGAAGCTTACATATAATCGGTCCTTTCCCCTCCGGATCCGTAACCACGGGATTGCCAACCCACTCGTTTGCGCGGTCGCCTACAACAACCAGATCCCTGGCATACACTTTCATGATTTCCTCCGTGGTGCATTTGGCATGTAGCGAGAGGTTGATGACGCACCGCGCACAGCCGGCTTCGCAGTCGCAGTCTCGCGAATACAGCATGTCTGTGTCGCAGTTTTTCGAGCAGAGGGGTATCAGGCCGAGACGATGGGAGATGAATTCGTCGGGCAGGACGGAGGTGTTTACTTCTATCTCGACGACGTCTATTGCGACGGTGGGGATTTCGGCGAGGATGGTGCGACGGAAGGAGTTGGCGAAGGCGAGGTCGACGGAGCTGAGGCGGAAGTCGACTCGGTACGGCTCTGCCTGGGGGAAAGATGTTAGAGGGAGGGGGCTTATTGTCTATGGGTTGGGTATAGAATATAAGCTCACTTCGCGGACGGTGACTTGGGGCCCTTGGGGCTCTATGTCCATGGCGTCATAGTCCATGGTGGATGGATCAGTAGTATTAAGGGTGGTATTAAGCGTAGTATCGAGGTGTATCAAGCTGTAGATGTCGTCGAGTAGAGTGAAGTAGCTGCAAGTGCCGTTGGTGATGATAATTGACGGAGTCGTTAATTTGACGAGTTCGAGCTCTGCTTAGTAAGTAAACTTAGTCATCCTAATTACTTATTCATCTTTTGCTTAATAAGTATATTTATTTATTAGTCAGCCGGAAGTAACAATATTTATCCGACTACCAAAAAAAATTCCCGACACTGAGCGACCAAAGTGCAGGGAAGCAAAAAGACCAGCAGTAGAAGACGCAGTATTAGGAGTTATAGGAGCTATAGGATTAAGGAGGTGAAGAAGAGAGAAACGCCGTCCCATTCTATGCTTTTCGGTATCAACTGTTTTCTATCTCTATCACCAGACCATAACCAAAAGAAGCAAAAAAAAAAAATCAGGGCAAGTAATGCTATGCAAGTAAAGACCGAAACTCGTAACCAATGCTTTTTTGTCAAAAAACGATGCCAATGATGCAGGGAGGAGGATAAGGCGGTTAAAAGAAAAGGCAGAAAAAGAAAAGAGGGTGAAGCAAAAAAGTAAAAAGATTAAAAAAAGAATAATATCCAAAAGAGATCTAAAGATATGTAGTAAAAGTAAATGCGGGGGAAAGGGAAGCGGAGGAGGAGGAGAAGAAGAAGAAGAAGAAGAAGAAGGAAGAGAAACGAAACAATATCGAGTCATCGTCACGGCCGGATGTGTCAGCGGTTCTTGTTCAAGAGTCACCGCTTGATGGAGCTCCGGTTGAGGGCATCGAGCAGCTCCGGCCGGGCGACCAGGGCCGCCGCAGCCTGCGAGTAGGTCACCCACTGCCTCTTCCGCTTGTGCATCTCGGGCCACTGGCTCTCCTCGCGGTCGACGCGCACCTCGAAGAACTGGTAGAGTACCCGGGGCGCCTTGGCTGATATCTGGGTGGCACTGCGCATGTCGGGAATCTTGCCCAGGTCGGAGGTGACGGTGCAGACGACGCCGGCTTCTTCCCAGGCCTCGCGGACGGCGGCTACCTGGGCGGAGGGCTCGTCGAGTTCCCAGCCGCCCTTGGGGAGCACCCAGGCGCCGGGGCGGGCGGATTGGATGAGCAGGACCTTGGACTTGTCTGGGGAGAGGGGGACGACGCCTGCGACGAGGCGTTCGCCGGCGGGAGAGTAGCCTGGAGAAGAAGAAGAAGAAGCTGTCAGCGGTGTTCTCGATGTCCTTTCTCTCTCTCTCTCTCTCTCTCTCTCTCTCTCTGATATCTCTTTGATATCTTCCCCTCTGATATCTCTGAGTAGCGGCGGCAGGCTTTGCTCTAGAGTAGAGACGAGGGAACACGTGCGCGAACCCCGGGCTGGGAGCTTCTTACGCTGGTTTGTCCGGCCAGTTCGGGCTTCCATCGTGCGAGTCGCCATGGCAGAGACAGGAGGGAACGGCGGGCGTTGGAGGAGCAGTTGGGAGCGGTAGAAGAAGCAGCGTAGAGAAAGTAGCAGAGCGGCGGAGGAGTCGAGGAGGAGAAGAGGCAGAGGTCGAAGCAGAGGTAAAGCCAGAATAGGGACTAGCGCAGTCAACTACGTAATAGGAAGAGCCAGCAGGCCAGCGACGGCGACGGCGACAGCAGCGACAGCAGCGAGAGACGGACAGACAGGCTGCAGGAGGAGAAGAAGAAACGACGGCGGAGAGATCGATTTACGATGTCTTCTTACTGGCCACAGCTCGCGTCCTCTACTTATCTATCTAGCTTGTCTGTCCCTTGCTGGGCCTCCCTGCTGGGCTCCTGCTGGGCTCCTGCTGGGCCCCCCTGGAGCTGGCCTGCATCTTCCCTGCTCGCTTTCACCGCCGGGAGACGAAGGCGAGGGCGGCGGACGGAGGAGGCGAGGCGAAGACGGTGCCAGACGGGCGGATGGGCTCAACTCTGGACGGGATGCTAGGGATGCCCTCAGGGATGCTCTCAGGGATGGCGTCTCTCTCGGGTGGTTTTTCTTGTCCTTTTTTTTTTTTTTTTTTTCGTTGCTTTTTCTTCCTCTCTGATGGGCTTCCCCGGCGCCCTGTCACATCCACCAAGGCCTGACATGACATGACATGACATCTGGAGACTGACTCTTTGCCTCTTGACCCTTTCTCTTCTCTTCTTCTTCTTCTTCTTTTACTCTGCTGTCTTTCTTTTCTTTCTGTTTTCTTTCGTCTTTTTCTTTTTCTCCTACTTTAACTGCTTAGTAAGATATGTAGTCACGTGACTGTTCCGCGACGTCGAAGTAAATAAAAGAAAAGCGACGGCGAGATAGAAAGAGGAGAGGAAGAAGATAGAGAGTAAAATAGCATAGTATAATAAATAATAATACAAGATAGAAGACAGCATGGCAGACCTCAAGATGACGGAGATGTCCTACTTCTCGCCCATGGGTAGGCAGACCACCCGCTCGCTTACAAGTTGGTTACGCTGACCTCTAGTCAAATAGGCTACCAGAGAAACACTTGCGGATACTGCAAAAAGGCAGAAGGCAGTCAGTTGCCTCTTATTCACTTCTTATACCCTGAGATACCTCTGATGAAGCGGTGCATGCTGACTGGAAAGGCGCAAGTTACTACGCATCCTCCACTGCCGTCCGCGTCGAGGAGTACGAGGCCCTCATGGACCGCGGATGGCGCAGGTCCGGATCTCTCTACTACAAGCCCAACCTCGCCCGCTCCTGCTGCCCTCATTACACCATAAGGTAGTTCTCTTTGCTTTCCTCCTATTATAAACCTATGCATACTGACAGTGACCAGGCTTGATCCGAGCCAATATAAACCCCGCCGAGACCAGAGAAGGGCGCTGAATAGATGGACGGCGTTCGTCCTGGGTGCAGAGTACGCCCATGCAGCAGCACGTCTGTGTCCTCGATCAAGGCAAGAGAAAAAAAGACATAATCAGACATTTGATCTCGGCCAGCGGGTGCATGAGATGGAGTACCCTTCCCTGCCCAGGCCTGTCAACCCGCTTACCAAGAGGACCATCGAGCCAGCGCACAAGTTTGAAATCAACCTCGAATCAGACTCGTTTTCAGTAGCCAAGTAGGTTGCCGGTTTTTACCTTTTCTGTGCCTGGGAATGGCGTTCGGTTAACGCGTGGTAGGTTCGAGCTGTTCCTGAGGTATCAGACCACCATACATAAAGAGCACGAGTCGCGCTGGAAACACTCGGATTTCAAGCGTTTCTTGTGCTCCGGCATCAAACAGAAGACAGTCAAACATACCGTTACCCAGGAAGACGGAAGCACCACTACAGTTGAGCGGAAGCTGGGATCGTACCATCAATGCTATCGTCTTGATGGAAGCTGGTTGCCGTGGCGGTGCTGGACTTGCTCCCTCACTCCGTCAGTTCGGTGTATATCTTGTACGTTTTGGCCTGCCTCTAGCCATGGTTTATATGCTGACCTTGATAGCTATGACCCCGAGTACGAAAAGTTTGAGCTGGGCAAGATAAGTGCCATGAGAGAGATCGCGTTGACGCAAGAGATGCATTTCCAGCATTACTACATGGGTATCGTTTACTCTTTTTTCAACTTAAATCTCAATGATTTTATATATGCTAAGAGAATCAGGATATTATATCCATTCATGTCCTAAGATGCGGTACAAAGGCACTTTCAGACCACAGTACATACAGGGTTCGTCCTCTCCTACCCTATTATCACGCCTAACCTAACTATTATCCATCATAGACCCTGAGACGTTCGAATGGCACTCTCTAGATGACGTATTTGCCCCAAAACTAGACAACCAACGCTATTTCTCAACTTCAGGCCAGCAAGTACCTGATGTCTACGAGGATATACCGGATGAAGACGCCATGTCGTTATTTGATCTGCACATGCCAGGCGTCTTGACAGTGGAGCAGCTAAAGTCTACCGTCGACCTTGACCATTGGAATCTACTCATTCGCGGCATGCTCGTTGAGATGATAGTACGTTATCAATTCTCTTCTCCTCTTTACGTCCAAGTCTCATACTAACGGTACAGGACCTCGTTGGGTGGGAAACGTCGAGCGTCAAGAACCCACAGGCTATCAAAGGTATCGTTGCTGAGCTTGCTGCTACGTTGGGCCCAGAGGTAGTCAAGAACTCAGCCGTCGTCATGTTCCAGAGCTGACACTACGCCATTTTCCTTTGCATACAACTTCGACTTGGATCTCGATTGTTACATAGCCGACGATCTATAAATAGTTAGTGTTAGCCGCGAGCGGGGCAATTTTTAAGCGCAGCCGCCGGCACGTGAGTCAAGCTTCGGCAAAGCAATCAGTTTCGCCTTTTTCTTGACATTTTTATCTTATTCCTCTGGATAATATCTCATCATTCAATACATCTGTCTGCTTGGAGGTGTTGGTATTTCGGCCTTGTATAGTTTATTAATGGCACATCCAGGCAGACAGCCATCTCCCGGCGGGACGGCCTTCGCACCCGGGTACATCGAAAAACACCCAGCACCACCCACCGAGTCATCGGCCCCAGCACCTCTAACGGTACAAAGCTACATATCTACATTCTGGTCCCGTCTCGCATCATGGGGTGTCGAGCTCCGAGGCATCGTTCCCGTTGACCTCAAGG